ATCCGGTGTCTTCAACTCTGCGCTGCCGATGTCAGATTCGCCTCTTCGTGGCAGCGTCGAAGACCTCCCCACCACACCCGCCGATACCGACGAGCCAGAGGTACTCTTCCTGGCAGCCAGTCTCTTCGAGTTCAACATTGCGCACGATCGCCGCGAAGGCGGAATACCATACCTTGTGTATGTGCCTGGCGAGATATTCGATGTCATCGGCATGAAGGGTGAGCTATGGCTCGCGCGAAATCAAGACGACCAAACGAAGACAGTGGGATGGATTTGGGAAAAGCATTTTGCGCGCATTTTACCCGAAGATGCATAGTTTGGCCAGCCAGTTTCATGAGCAGTTGGATTACAACGAGGATCGGAATTTGCTTACCTTTGGGGTTTTGCGGGCGGCGTTTTCGGCGATTGTGTCACCTGACCCAACGGGCGTTTGTGTGTATCTGGGTGTGTTCCCAACCGCGTTCGACTTCTCTTTTTCGTATGTGATTCCCCCAAATCCCTCCTTCTCTCCTTGATACCTTCGAACGCCGAGAGTCCTTCTCTCTCTCTCTCTTTCTACATTCTGGCTTTCTTCGAATACGCAACATCTATGACTGCGGCTGCTGGGGCGAGAGAGGCATTGCTGGCGTCTAAGCTTTCGTGTCTTTTTTATACCTACTTTCCTTGTATGTATTTACGAGAGAGATGATTTACAATACCTTTTGAGGGGCCGTCTTTGGGTTCAATCTGGCATGATTGATGTGTGGTTTGGCTATATTTGGCGACGATGTTTTTGTTGCTTTGTTATTTTGGAGAGAGAGGGGTTGTTGCGCTAGTGTATGAATATGAATATTTGAGAGGGACTTTATGGATCTTGAATGAAGTGTTTGCATTGCAGTTGCTGCTACTACTTCGGCGTTGACTGTCCGTGGCGAACCAGGCGGACTGAGCGTAGAACTCAGTTTGGCTTTCCAGCTTCTACTCTTCCATCTCCGAGCCACTTTCGGAATCATCGTCGCTACCTGATACCTCTTCGTCATCGTCCTCGTCATCTTCCTCCCCCTCAAGACCATATGCATCCTGGAAGTCGGTGAGCTGCTTCATCTCGATCTTGAAGCCTGCGTCTTCAAAGTCCTTCTTGAGGCCCTGTACAGAATGGTTAGCATTCTACCAAAACACAGAATCCAAGGACAGGTGGGAAACTTACATCAGTCATGATACCACCACAAGTCACGACCAGATCCGTCTTCTCAGGCACAAACACAGCCGACACAACCTCATTCAAGATGTTCCTCACGTCTTCCTCAGTCACCTTGCGCACCTCACGCAGCGCCCAAGCCTGCCAGTCCTTGCCCACACCACGCGTGACAGTATCGATAAAGGAACTCCTAGCCGCATCAACAACCGTAGCGCGCTCGTCAACAAAGTCGCGAACGATACTTGAAATCGCGCCTTCCAACGCCAGCTTCTCAAACTTCTGCGTGCCGTCACCGTACTCCTTGATGACCGTCTTGGCTTTGTTGTACGCAGCGAAGACGTTCGGCGATTTCGAGATGCGGAACTTGAGAAGCCCGGTTTCGGGGTCGCGGAAGAAGTTGCTGCCGTAGGCGAGGCCTGTGCCGCGGATTGATGTCCACATGGGGCCTTCGACGGCGTCGAGATAGGCGAGTGCGACCATGAGCGGTGGGAGTTGGGCGTTTTTGTAGCCTTTGGGTCCTTTGGATGTGAGGACTGCGAAGGAGGAGTCGATGGGCATGGGGATGATGTAGTGTGTACCGCCTGGGTTACGACCGATATCTGAGAGGAGCGCGTTGCGGTCGTCAATTGGGTTTACGTTTGGCTCTGGACCAGGCTTGAAAGCGTCGGTGAGGTGTTTGAAGGTCGACACTGGATTTGGTAGGGTCTCAAGGTTGGCGGTAACGAGAACGCGCATGTTGGAGAAGGTCAGGAGGTGTTTGCGTAGGGCTTCGAGTTTATCGAGGACCTGCTGAGGCTCCGTCTTAAGTAGCTTCAGGATGCGCTTGAGGTAGAGACCCTTGACAAGCGTACCAGTCGCGCGAACAGCTGATGCGGCATTGTAGTGGATCATGCGGTCGACTGCAAAGCTCATGGAGTTACCATCGCGCTTCTCTTCGGGCACGTCCGCGAGCATCTTCTTGACTGCAGAAATCACGCGTTCGGTGTCGAACACGGAGTCAACGAGCATTGACCTCAGCCATAGCACGACCGTCTCGAACTTGTCGGCCTCCGCGATGAAAGGGATGTAGATCATCTCAGAGCTTCCAATATCAGTACCGCGGTCCATGGAGTACTCAATGGTATCCTGCTCAAGCTTGGTAATGACCTCCTCGAACTCGATACGCTTTCCGTCCTTCATGATCGGAGTCGCGAAGAAGTTGGTTAAATATACGCCGAGGAGAGGCTTGAGTTCCGTTGGTAGCGAGGCAGTTCCGAGTGCTAAGCCGAAGTGTACGAACGAAGTTGGTATGTGTTCAAAGTGGATGAAGAGGGGAAGTCCGTTTTCATCCTTGTCGACAATCTTCTGGATGTTGTTCTCAGAAGTTCCCAGCTTCTTTGCTACACCAGAACGCGCTGTTGTAGTCTCAAAGAAGTGGATAGACTCAGTACTGGGAACATGGACACTGGCGATAATCTCCTCTGGGATGGGCTTGTCGTTTTCGTCTTGGGCTTCCTTAAGCTTCTGTGCCAAGTTTTTCAGGCCTTCTTCGCCTAGCTTCTCTTGCTGTGCCTTGACACGTGCAACCTCATCTGCTTTGATCTTGTCCGACAACGCCTTGGAAGGTTTACCTAGGATGGAAACGTGGTGAGCATCCACCATCCATTTATTCAGATATGCTCGCCACTCTTCCTCAGTCCATTTGTCAAGTGTGTCGAATACATCAAGCGTGGCCATTGCGTCTTCAAGGTGAGTACCGTTCCGGTCACCAAATACGTGATCTTTGATGATTGGGTCTTTGTACTCATCCATGCCAATCTCAGACATGTATCGAGTTTGGCGCTTGAAGCGATGAAGACAGTCCTTGAGGTAGCTCATATCAAGGGGCTTGGAAGCGTGTTCTTTGAGAACCTCGAAGAAACGCTTCTCAGCATCAGCCAGCTTGTCAGTCTCCACAGACGACAGAGTCCACCAGATGATCATGTCTGTGTGCCCCTTGCACCAGAAGTATACCATACTCGCAAGGTGTTCCTTCTCGACGAGTGTGTTGACCAGAACCGAAACAGATGATCCGGCAAGGTAGTTGAGCAGTGTGTTGATGGCAGTCTCTCCAAGGTCGTCGATAGTCTTGGGTCCTAGGAAGGCGATTTGCACTTCACCAGTTGACTCGTCTTCTTCTGGGAACTCGACTGTGTCAACAATGGTCTTGCTCAGGGGTGGAGTGCGCTTCGATTCGACCCATGGACGCTTGAAGGGCGCATCGTAAGCCGGTACGCGATCGATGATTTCGTCTTCGAATTTATCCAGTATGTCCAACAGGTTTGGATGATCGACCTCTCCAATCAATATGACTCGTAGATTCTTGGGCTGATACATGTCTCGGTGGAACTGGCGAATACGCTCTGCAGTGGAGACTCGTAGGTTCTCCATCAATCCACCCGTCTCCATACGGAAGCCATCGCCTTCAGGGTAGAGAAGGCGACGCATCTGGAGATCCATGAGATCGCCCTGCAGGTTTTGACGTCCTTGCATCTCAGAGTAGACAACACTTGGGTCGTTAGCTGGGAGCATGAAGGCGTTGAGAGTTACTCACCCTGCATCCTCTCCCTTGCCATCGATGTGATGAACCTCAGTGTAACAACCGGCATCGGTCAGCGTAGGTACGATGAGGTGGTCTAGATAGATAGGTAGCAGCTGTGCAAAACCCTCCCAACCCGCGGTTGAGAGAGTATAGACTGTCTCGGAGACATCCGTCCATGCGTTTGTGTCAGAGTATGATCGGGTGGCGATCTTGTCTAGCACGCCCTTGAAAGGGTATTTCCGCGAACCCATGAAGCAGAGATGCTCAAGGGTATGCGCTACGTCAGTCAGTAGAAGTATTTGAAACACGAGCCATGCTACTCACGTGCACCCGAATCATCGTGGATCTCTGTGGCTACCGCGAAATTTCCGTACACCTTGGGACCCTTTCGATCGACTACCACTACCCGAAGACCCGTCCGTTGGGATTCATACTGAGTGAATGTAGCGTCGGCGTAATTTGCCTCGAACTGCTGCAGCTTCTTGAAGTGCGACTCCTGCTGTATTGACCCCATGATGTCGAAGTTGAAGGAGAAAGGAATTGACAGCGTGAGATTGCAGGTGTACCCTTTGTTGGTGCTGAAGTCGCAGGCACTGGCCGCGTTGCCCGAATTGGTACTACCCTTGCTGTGTTAGCTGGATTGTTGTACGTAGCCCAACGCACTGTTATATAGAAAATCACGCTACCGATTCGACCGGGGTCTCCAAGAGAAAAGCAGCCTTAGGTTTTGGGGGCGTGCATTGCGTATACCCATGCTCTACAAGCCTACAGGCCGCGGCCAGTGATTATGCTGCTGAATTTGCAAGCCTACATACCAGCCCGGGTAGCGGTGAGATGGCAGTAAAATGAAAATGACAAAGACTTACGAGAGGATGAGATAGAGTACAAGGAGCAGAGAGCCACTCCGAACAAGGAACGAGGGAATGACGAAGGGCAATATGAGAGGCGAGTTGTCCGGGAGTAGTGCTGCGGCGCCGCTAAGATGCTGCTACCGCGGATTGACTAGATAAATGTGCGCCTAATGAATCTGCTGCGACGTGCGGTTGTCTCCAAACGCACGTGTGCATGTGCCTCCAGCTGTTTCTTCAGCACAAGGGCTTGAGCGTGGCGGGGTAAGTGTGGCGGGGCAGCAACGCTGGAGTTGACGTCGCTTGGACGTCCGTGCAGCTTCAATGTTGGTCCTGCGACGTTGCGAACGCCGTGCGAACTATCCCGCCGCAGACCCTTTTTAGAATCGACATGACAATCACCCCGTGATTACAAATGCCTTCGCAAGTCTCGGACGAGCAGCTAGGCGACGCGCTGCTCCAGTCGGCCGCGCATGGCGCGTTTCCCCAGGACCAGGATGTCGCGTCCGCAACTGTGCCTTCCAGCGCACTTCCAAAGCTGTTGGAGGTTGTTGCCAAGGCAAGAGAAGAGACGAAGGTGTGTTGAAGTAGCGCGTGCTCCAGGCAACGCTGACCGTTGTTCCAGGACGAAGTACGCCAACTCTCGAGAGAAGCCGCACCCGACGTCGATGGCTGGATAGCACAGGCACGCAAGCTGCAAGACGATATCAAACGCTCGCAAGAAACAGCCAAAGAGATTGTAAAACAAGCAGAGGCAGGAAAGGATAATACAGCTCGCGTACAGGATGCCGCAAGCAAGGTCAGCCTGCTGCACACGGAAATTGCATACAACGAAAGCTTGGCACGTGCTGTAGAGCAGCTTCGAGACATCTCGACCCTGCTCGACTCTGCCCAAAACGCTGCTGTACATGGCCATGTTATGCATGCAATACAGACTTTGGAAGATGCAGATGGCGCATTCCAGGGTCTTGGGCTGTTCACCACTACAAGAGCGGTGGGTGTGCTGAAGAACAAGGAGGAGCAGCTGAAGAAAGCCATCGTAGAGACGGTCACGGAGTCATGGAACGGGCTGATTGCAGTCGACAACACCAACCATAAGATCTCGCTGCACCAGTCGATCGAACGCGAGGCCAGAGTCGATATCAACACAACGGTTGAAGCGCTTACGAAGTTGGGTCTCCTTGACAGCTTCGTAACCCGCTTGAGCCGTGACCTGGACAAGATCATAATCGCTCCCCGACTGGCTATAGGCACCGACCGCGTTGTGTCCGCCTTCAACATCCAGGAGGATGTTATCCAACGTGCTGGCACGGTGAATGATGGTGCGGTCAAGGCTACCTTGGAGGATATGCACTTGCTTGCTGAGTACCTGAGCACGCGTCTACCGCCTAGCATCGCCGTTCCGCTGTCCTCAAAGATCGTTCCGATCATTGCTTCTCGTTTAATTTCGAACCTGCTTTTGCCTGCCGTGCCATTATCAACAGACGGGATACCACATTTTCAAGAATCGCTCTCATATGTCTTGGGCTTTGTGGAGTATCTCGATGAGCTCGGCTGGTCAGGCCAAAATCGTCTAGCTGAATGGGTAGATAAGTCTGCCGAGATATGGCTTGCTAAACAGAAAGAGGATGCGATCGCTCGAGTACAAACGATGTTCCCGAAGAAGGTGCAAGAAAAGAAGACTGTTGAACGGGTCGAGACGCAAGTCATCTCAAAGGGAGATGCATTGCATGCTGGCAACGAACAAGAGGATGACTGGGCTGCTGATTGGGATGAGGAGGGCGATGTCGCAGAAGAGAAGAAGGAGACTATCGAAGAAGAAGATATGAGTGCTTGGGGTGAGGATGACGATGTGATTGGAGATGAACCCAAAGAGCAAGAGGCGAAAGAAAAGCCAGCTGATGCAGAGGATGCAGATGATTGGGGCGCTGATTGGGATGACGAGACCGATACCAAACCCACCACAACGCCGAAGCCTGCAGTACATACAACGGAGCAATCGAATACGAACGGAAAACCTGCCTCTCAAAAACAGCCGGCACACCAGGAGGTCACCCTTCGGGAGACATATACAGTGACAGCGATCCCAGATGCCATAATGGAGATAATCTTGCAGGTCATTGCAGAAGTAGACACGCTGAACTCACCCGAGCTGGTCAAGTCTGCAATCGCACCCGCGAGCGGGGGTCTATATGCGATTCCGAGCCTCCTGTTGGCAATGTACCGAGCTACTGCTGTGATGAATTACTCAAAAGATATCGCCAGTAATATGCTCATCTACAACGACTGCCAGCGATTATCGGATCGTCTGCGACTCTTTCTTCAAGAACAAGCTGAAAGAGATAAATCGTCTACATTGCCACAGCACTTGCGACCTTCCAAACGCCTCCAACCGCTGATCGAATCTGACATCAAGACGATCGACGGATTTGGAAAGCGTGCATACGGACGCGAGATGGAGTCACAAAGACAGATCATCCGGGATCATCTTGAAGATGCGCAAGGCTTCCAAGGCTGTACGAACGTTCCGTTCGCTACGGTCTGTGATGACGCCATCGCTACGACGATAGATCGCATAGGTGATGTGAAGCGACAGTGGCAGAATGTACTTTCACATAGCGCTCTACATCAGTCACTTGGCTCGTTGGTGTCAGCAGCTCTCACAAAGTTCATCAACGATGTCGAGGACATGTCAGATATTGCAGAAGATGAGTCGAGGAAGTTACACGGGTACTGTGTCTCGCTTGCTACTCTATCCCAACACTTCCAGACCGAGGATGGCAACGGAGAGACAAGAGACATGGCCGGTATCTACACGCCCAACTGGTTCAAGTTCCAGTATCTCAGCGAAATTCTGGACAGCAGCCTTGCGGATATCAAATACTTCTGGACGGACGGCGAGCTGAAGTTGGAGATGGAAGCTGAAGAGGTGATTGGATTGATCGAGGCTCTGTTCGCGCCTAGTGATCACCGGAGGAGAGCTATCGCTGATATCAGGAGAACCAGTATGACTTAGTAAATGACAATTTACGTGAAGGAAACAACATACGACTTTCCTCTTGGGCGCATGCGTAGTACTCTAATGGTAGATTGACCCTAGTTTACGGTTAGTCTTCTGAAACACCAAAAACCTATACCCAACTATCAGCCGACTTTGATACTTTCTGCATAAATTGAACTACTGGAAAGACATAATCTATAATACCACGAGCGGAGGTTCACGAACGCCGACTGGCTGGCTTCTTCCGCGCTAACCGGATTCGAAAAAAAGTTCGAGATCCCAAAATTTCCTAAGCTTCGTAACTCCAACACCAATCATCATATACCGCCAAACCCGCCGACGCCATGGATATCGACGCCGCAGAGACCAAGGTGCAGATTCGCCTTACGACGCGCGATGCTGCTCTGCAGATTTCGGAGGAGCCGAACATCCTCTTGGTTCAAACATGTGAGTAGAACTACCGGAAGCCTAGTCGCATGTCGCGGCCTCTAGCCATCTACTGCAGCATGCTCGCACAGTAATTTGAACCGTCGCGACTGCAGTTCGTGGTTTTAGGCTACAAAACGCTGCGCAGTCCGTCCAGATACAGAGCTAACGCGGATGCGCCCACAGCTTTGACTCGACACAAGCTTTCCACACTTGTGAACGAACTCCTGCACCGCGATGACGGCAGTCGCATACCCTTTGACATCCTGATCAACGGCGAATTTCTCCGAACCACAATCGACGAATTCCTCACAAAGAATGGTATCAATGCCGAATCGACGCTGGACGTTGAATACACGAGGGCTTTGGTGCCACCGCTAAACGTCACGAGCTTCGAACACGACGACTGGGTTTCGGCCGTGGATGTTCTGTCAGGAGTGCAAAGTGGGCAAGAGAGGATACTGAGCGCGAGTTATGATGGACTGTTAAGAGTGTGGAATACCTCGGGCGATGTTCTGGCGACTTCAGAGGCTCCGAACAACGGTGGTCGAATTACAAGCTTGAAGACGGCTAAATGGTTGTCGGAGAAGAAGATGGTAGCTGCAGGGCTGGACAACACCGTCCGTGTCTACAAGTACGACGATGATGCGAGGACTATCACCACAGCTCTCGAGCTGTTCAACCACCGCTGGGGTGTAGAAGACGTCGCAGTCCATGCGCCTTCGAGTCGCATTCTCTCCGCCTCCTCGGATACCACTATCTCGCTGTTCTCGAGCAACGCAAAGGAGAACCCCGTCGCGCCGGCGAATTTCCTGCCCAGTTCAACGGCTGCGTCGAACAAGCGACAGAAGCTTTCGAAGCCCGATCGCACGGTCCCTGCTCGCGGAGCACTGGCTACATTCAGCGGTCACACTTCGCCGGTATCTAGCGTCATCTTCAAACCAGATGATGCTACTGTCGCATACTCGGCATCTCACGACCACACACTCAAAACCTGGGATCTGCCTACCCAGTCGTGCGTTGATACCCGAACAACCGGTCACTCGCTTCTCTCTCTATGCGCCATCCCCTCCCGAAACCTGCTTGCAACCGGTACCTCAGCACGACACATCACATTGGTCGACCCCCGCGCATCTGCCACGCAAATCAGTGTCATGACACTACGAGGCCACAAGAACGGTGTTGTTTCTTTGGACACGGATCCATCTTCCGAATACAATCTGGCGTCTGCTTCGCATGACGGAACGGTGCAGATTTGGGATCTCAGGAATGTTAGCACAGGTGGTCAGGTTGGAGAGGGAATGACTGGTGAGAGTGTGTACACAATCTACAGGCAAGGACGCGAGTCTGCCAAGAGCCATGGAGAGGGCGCGAAGGTCTTCAGCGTAAGATGGGATAGTGCAGTGGGTATTGTCTCGGGTGGTGAGGACAAGAGGGTGCAGATTAACCGCGCTCTCGACTCGTAAGAGTTGAAAGTTTCGGCTGGTAGAAGTGCCAGCGTATGGGTGTTTGGGCGCATATCGTAGATACCATTTTGGCTAGGGAAAAGTGTAGCTTCAATTCTTGAACGCGTTGCCCTCCATCGATGTTTCATTTGACTTGGGTGATGCTTCTGCAAGCGATATAGGCCGCAGAGACCTTAGATTCGTGTGCAGCACAATGCTTTCCCCCGTATGTGGGTGAACGCAATCAAAAGGGTATCAAAGTAACCGCTCCCACCAACCAGCTCCATTCCTCTTTCACAGTCATCGTTCTCCCCTGTTGGCGCATAGCATTCATACTGTGCCCACGGCATCATAGTGTTGTACACCCTCTTCAGACCAAGTCTACCATAGACTGCCAGTCGCGCTTGTAGTTGTTCGATAGACGCATCTTCCACTTGCACTCCGATGTCTAACCAAGAGACCTCATCTCAATCGTCCCAACTCATACCAAATGTCCCGGCAACAAGAAATTCGCAACCCCCTCTTTAACCGCATACTCATGCTCACATGCCCCGCACACCAGCTTGCCCTCTTGTATACACGTCTCGAGCAATATCCTGTGCAGATCCTTCGCTGTCTGGCTTGGCTCCTCTTCTATCTCTTCCGTCGGGGCCGCTGGTGTCGCATCTGTGGTATCTAATGCTGAAGCGGAGGAAGAAGAAGGTTCGACGAGATCGGCGGGCGTGGGTGCTGTAGCGGGGAGTTCAGGAAGACCAAGCTACAATTCGCATATACGTCAGCGTTCTATTCAAAAGTTTCGAAGTATCGGTATCTCTTTGGAGACGCAATGCGCGTGGGCTTCGCGCTTGGTGGATGTTTTCTTGTTCGCGTACCTCGCTGCATATCCCCCTCAATTCATCCCACATTATCCTCGGTAGTATGTTCTTGAGAAAGGCGAGGTTGACATCTGCTTCTATGATTTCGAGTTCGGCATCGCGGGGGTGGAGGGGGAAGGATGCGGGGTTGGTTTTGCAGGTTTTGATGGCGCATGTGAGGAAGTTGAGGGTAAGAAGCTTCATTTTGTGTGTTTTGTTACAGAAGTCAGGTTGGATTCGGCGCTTTCGAGTTTCGTAGGTTTGTTGTGGAATGCGTGGTTTTGGCGGACTGGTTTGGGGCTGGACGCTTTGCGACAAATAATTTTTGGCCGCGGGAATGTTGTCTCCTTCTCCAAGCCCTGTGGAGCCAATCAGAGCCTCGCCTGTAGGGAGTCTTTCCCGGATAGGAAGGTATGCGAAAACCGTTGATCGCGGCAGGAAGGGCACTGTGGAGACCGCTGGCCCTGTAGACGAGGCCCTGATTGGCTCGATAGGGAGGCTTTCCCGATCAGGCAACTACAGTAAATCCATCGATCGCGGCAGGGAGGGCACTGTGGAGACCCAGCTACCTGCCGGGCCAATCAAAGCCGCCAGACAGGGCCAGAGACGCTAATGCAGGGCTCTGGATTTAACATTCGTCATGCCGCTTTCCCACTGCTTCGACGAGAGATTCGCGGTTTACTACTCTTCGTCTGTACTGTAAATATGCGAAGACCTAATTCAATTGTGTCGCAATTAAGCTCGTAGAATGGCCATTGCAATGCTTGCACCATCTCCCTATACCCTTGCGACCCAACATCCAATTCACCACTTGCCCACATCCTCCAACACCAGATCCGTCGCCCGCTCACTCAATAAAAACGTGCTAACCGCCGGAAACGCACCCGGACATCTAGGAAATGCACTCGCATCTACTATCCGCAGCCCTTCGACCCCTCTGACCCTCAGCCTCGTGTCCAGCACAGCCATAGGATCAGAATCCGGGCCGACCTTGTTCGTGCTTGTGGGATGGTGACCAAAGACTTGGTCGTGAATCCACTCCCTATCAATCTGCATGTCACGGCAGTAGCCCGTCTCAAGGATATCAGCAGGCGGACAGGGTGGAGAAACAGGTGTTACAGGGCCGACCGGTGCTTCGGTGGAAGCAAATGCTCTACGAACGAAAGCAACAGTGTCGAGCATGGCGTTTAGATCTGTTTCTACGCCCTCGGCGAAGTAGTTCATGTTCACTTCCGGTGTGTCTACCGGGTCGGCTGACTGGATTTGGACGTATCCGGCAGTGTTCTGGGGATGTATCTTAACGGTGGACCAAGAGAATGTTGTGGGAGGGTAGCGTGTCGTGTTTTGAGACGTCGGTGGCGCGAAGCCTGCAAAGGAGCCACCCGTGAAGCCGAACATTAGCTCGTCTCTTTCGCCTTCGACCGCATGGGCGGTCTTGAGGAGGAACGCGTTTGAGTTTGTGCCGCCGCGCGCGTAGGGTCCTTGGCCATTGTACCAGAGTTCGATACATGGATCGCCGGGTGATCCGTTTGTGCATCTTGGTGCATTGGGGTCAGGTGTCTTTGCGAAGCTGATCTGGGCGTTCCCGTAAATGGGTACCTCGTAGTTGTCCTGGAGGTTGCGGCCCACACCCGGTAAGTTAGAGATAACAGGGATGTTGTACTTCTCGAGAAGGGCTTTGGGCCCGATACCAGAGAGCTGTAGGATCTGCGGGGAGTTGAAGGCACCACCAGCTACAATGACTTCTTTTCGAGCGAAAGCTTGGCGCAGTGTACTGGTGGTGGAAGTGTTACGACGTGGGTCGGCCTTATATATGGACTTGCCTTGCAAGTATTCGACTCCAATGGCTCGCGGTTTTGTGCCATTGCCACTACATTCATCGAACAGTACCTTTGTGGTCAAAGACTCAAGCTGGAGATGTAGCGGGTACTTCAGCGTTCCATTCGAATTCGTTAGATTGCGCAATTCCAAAATACGGTCGCGGGGGCTGAAGCGCTTCCAGTTGGGCGTGACATGGAATGGCAGTGAGGACAGACCCTCTGTCTGATCACGCATTGGATCGAGATAGTTCGCGTCGCTGGTGAGGTAGTCCAGTACCTTTTCTGGGTCTTTCCCAACCAATTTTAGTCCAGCCTGGAAGACCTTGAAGCGGAGTGCTTCAGCCGCATGGGTAGCTCGATCAGCGATGTTCGTCTGCAGCCAGCCTGTAAATCCGTGGCCAGGAGTACCGGGTTCGAGATAGTTGTTATGCTCAATTTTCTCAAAGTATTTCCGCATCAATTCAGCACTGCATGATTGTCAGTACTGTTTTGAGAGCCGAGATCTATTGGCGGCTTACCTCCAAACACCATCCCCGACTCCCTTGTCAAAGAAGTCCCAATCGCTGTCGCTTGGCAGGAATGTCGCAGCCGCGTTGATGATCGCACTCCCGCCCAAAGTAGCCTACGTTGCAGCATATACAATGAGTAACTATTTCGCGTGCAGTGCGCAAGGGAAGGATACCACTCACACCTCTAGGATAGAAAACGCCCAACCTCTCGACCCCTACGTGTCCATTGACACTAGGATCCTTTCCAACCCAATCTATCACTGACATTAGCAACGTGCAAAGGCCACATATACCAAGATTTTGACTTACACTCCCCATTCTTCAACCTCCAAACCAACAGATTATACCTCTTCAATCTCTCTTCGTCATCACTATGCTTGACGAAGAAATGCCACGCTACATTCGTGTTGGAGTAGTCATTCATAGCGAGCACTTGGGTGCGGATATCAGACGAAGCGTCCGATCCAGCCTCGATCAACAGAACGGAGTGTCCAGCAAGAGCAAGATTGGTGGCGATTGTACCGCCCCCTGGACCGCTACCGGTGACGATATAGTCATACGTGTTTGAAGTGTTGGAGGAAGCCTGTGGTGGAATGCAAGAAGCATGGTGCAGAGGGGATGCTGACGCGAGAACTGGGATTAAGAAGAGCGGAAATGTAGGTAGTCTCATGATGGAGTACGTGTAGAAGTTAGCAGTTTGTTTCCAGGATGTCACCGTGTTCTTGTCAGTACTTGTATACTCCCAGCTGCCTGGTCAGATCTGGCTTCCTTGCTTCGGTGTTGAGATGCAAGATCTAGCATTTCGATCAGCGAAAGTGACCCTGCATCTTTAACCGGCATGTCATGCTGTGAAAAGCCGTCTTGGAAACCGGTGTTGTGTATCAATCGGTGCGAATGGACCCAATCACAATCTGCACTCTACGTCTAACTTCCGGTGCCATGACCCCGGCTGTACTCCGGTGCGGGGAGATGATCGGATTGAGTACCTGCATACGCCATGTTACACAATAAGCCAATGACGACCAGCGTGGTTGATTAGTACACGCTCAGCTCCGAGCTGCCTATAGTAGAAAGAGTGTACGTATCTCCGCATTGAAGCTGATGGTGACCAAGCAGGGCGCGGTATGAATAAGCCTCTCACTGCTGGAACCTTTGCTGAGCCCTGCAGATTTAAGGTTTTGATAGTAAGTCGGGTTGTTGTTTCCGGTATGGGTCTTCGGGAAATGCCTTGGTGCACAGGAAGTCACTATCGAATGATCAACGCTGCTCCACTAAAGTCACGGAGTGCGGCAACTGCGCGGAAGTCAAAATCTGGGCATATGCCGATGCGAGGGAATGCTGGAAACCGAGGCCCAGAACGTATCCCTCGACCAATGGCATCGTATGATTCTTGTTCACATTACATGTCGTACTCTATCGCGAGTACTATCTTCCTCATGTCAGACGGAAAGATGCTGCCGTGGGTGCTTCGTCAGAATCGTTATTAACACGTCTAAACCCACTACTGGAAGCTCTTCAACAGCTCCGAAAGCTGCGCATAGGTATCATCTGGGTTCTTGACCTTGTGTCCGATAGTCCGCTCGTCGCTGTAGATTTCCCAGTCGTTTCCACCCTCGTAAGCCTTGTCGCCAAAGAAGTGGATCTTGTCGTAGACGACACCAGTCAGGCCCTTCTCCGCCTCAATGTGTCGCAGGCAGTAGGTCTTGTCCCAGCCAGTAGGGAATACGTCGAACGAGATTTGACCACCGATGGAGTATGTGAGGCCAGAGTCGGGGAATGCTTCCTTGAGCTTGGCGACCATGGTTTCCCTGACTTTGTGCTCGAGATCGTACTTTTGGTATTCGTTTCGCTCTTCGGTGGAGGCGTTACGGCCGATGGGGGAGACGTTGATCATGCCGTTGCGGAACTCGATGAAGGTACCGCGCTTGATGGGGATGTCGAGATCGGCGATGTAGTGAAGAATCCTAGAATCATTGTTAACGATGCCTCATAACCTGCTGTATACACGTACCACTTGGTTAATTGCTTGTATTTGTCCTCGCCAATCCACGCGATGAAGCTCTGGCTAGCCAGGACCTCGCCCATGCGGATGGCAGTGAGTCCGTTCTCGGCGAAGCAGAAGTCGAACAGCGAGGTAACGTCTACGGGGCCGCCGAGCTGTTCTTGTTGTTTGACGAGGTTGGAGCCGCCCACGAAACCGATGGCGCACTTGTGACGGACTTCGGAAAGGAGCTGCAGCATCTGCGGAGTGACGAGCTGCACCGGTGTTAGAGAAGCATCGCTGAGAATGCATCGATTGTACACACTTGACGGGGTTTTGTGAGCGTGTCGTCGACATCGAACAGGAGGACCGTGTTCTTGACCGGGCGCTGGTCGAGCGGGGGATAGACAGCTGCGGCGGCGGCCATGGTGGAAGTCTTCTCGTGGGTCTTGAATTGACAGGTATGCGGACAGACAAAGCTCAATTGGGATAGTCGAAGATCGTCAGAATAGTCAGAGGTGTAGCAAAGCAGGGGCCGGCTGTCCTGATATGCTTCGGAGGGGTTCCTGCAGGGATGGCTGCTACTCACCGCAGTTTCGCGGTTGGCACGCGTGGGGTTGGTCTAGTGCGCGCCTGGACCCTGACTTAGTTTGCGCCGCACATGGTACCTGATGAGTGCGGCCGTGGCTGAATGGTGACATGTGTCCACTGCTCATATGCTTGGACATCATTGGCGCATCACATTGTATGGCAAGATCATAAACGCGCAGCACTGAGTATAGACGCTTGAGCTGAGCATAGACGCGTGAAGATGAGCCACGACTTGGTTGGCAAAAGCGGAATGGCTTCCGCGCCCTGCTTTCCATGTGCAAACTGACTGGTCTGAATACGAAGAGAACACATAAACACACCGCAAATCCTCTAAACACGTATTCAACTTCGTCCCACGTTTCCAAAATGTCTAAGAATAGCTTGTTCATTTGAGAATACTCTGTCAATGTCTAGGTTACGGTCAATGTGTTCATGTCACACGCCAACTTCCTCGGCCAGCCCCTTCCATCGTCCCTTTCGCATCCCTGAAGGTAGCGCTAGTAACACACTTCGAAGAGAGTCTTCCTCATATTCAAGCCTCTCCAATGTGACTGCCTGCAAGATATAATTCGCAATCGTGTTATTCGAGAGCAGCGGATCTCGCAAGATTGCTGCCATTTTCTCGACTGGGAGCTTCTGGTAGTGCCACATGTGATATGCGCGAAGGTGTGTCACAGTTGCACGTATACGTGAGGGTGTTGTTGAATTAGGCGATGGAATAGTAACTTGAAGATATTCCTGTGCCCATGTCGTCGCCAAGTTGTACTCAGGCGTTCGTGATGACTCATTGAGTAGGCCGATGCATGATTGCGGAGCTGGTGTTGGCACGGCGGAATCGACAACATCGAGGGAAACATGCTTGAGACCTAATGGCTCAGCCACTTTGGCAGTATTAGAAGCTTGAGCGGTTGCTAGATGGGTAGGAAGTACTGACTGCGTTCCCAGATCGTCTTGGCTTATGGTAGGTGTTGGCCTAGTATGCTCTGATGCTGCGTCGTTCCCATCTTGGATAAGCTTCCCACTTTCGTCCAAAGACATGCGTCTAAGCGCATCCTCAAGCTCTGGGTCTGGGTATTCATCATCGCTATCATTCTGCTCCCCGCCTGGAATACCATGGCCTTGCTTCTCCATCTGCATGGCAACCTCATCTTTGGAGGATCCGGTAGACTGTGGGCCCACGTCCTCTTCCTGCGATGTCTTGGGCAGCTCAGGGTATCCGGGATCGGTGTTTTGGAGCCAGGAAAGGCTCACACGGCCAATTCGCTTTTGTGAAGAAACTCCACCTTCTTCAGCACTGTTCGACTCGAGCTTCACCGCAGCCTCAGCCGCAGAGGCCTTGTTCGAGTGATCCACGGGCGCAGCTTTTCTTGTTTCGTTTGGTGCGTCTTCGAGCTCATGACTGTCGGTAAATTCCTCCGTCGCGGTCTCGTACCCTTCCGTGTCTTCCTCATCTTGTTGCTCTTCTGTCACATCAATTGACTGCTTCGCAACTACGTCCGCTGCATCGTCGGACTTGGTAGCTGCCTTTACCCTTTTGCGGGGCACCTTTGGCCTGGGAGTAGGCTTGTTGTCGAAGTCGCAAAGGGCCACTGGAGGAGGGGCTGGCTTCATCCGTGTCCTCTTCCATTCAAGCATGTGATAAAGACGAAAGCCAGCATATGCATCGGCAGCCGCGTAGTGTATCTGTTGCAAATCTAAGGGCAGACTCCAGTCACTTTCTCGGACGCTGGAGGTTGTATCCGGATCGTCGACTAGTCGCTCTCCTTTGTACAAAGGCAGTTGGAGGTGTTGTAGCACCTGAGAAGCGAGTTTTACAAGTCTGTTTGACACTTTGCTAGGCTCCACCTCGTACCATTCGACTAGATTGTGCAAGCGACTTAGCTCGAAGACACCTTGAGATTGAATGTTGAGGTACTTTTCCAGGCGCTTGAAGTCTCCTTTGATAGCCACACCTACCTTGTAAATATTGGGTGATTCTAGAACAGCCCTCAGACTGGGTGGCATCAGCTGCTCGACTGTCTTCCCAGAGAACAGCGACATATGAAAGAGTGCGATGCGATCTTCGCACGCGAGCTGGATCAAGGACGCATTTTGCTTGATGGAATATGGGTTTCCGCGAGGCTTCCACTCAATGTCGAAGCCCACCACTTTTTCTTGTAAGAAGTATTTGGCCACTCTTTCAGCAACGTCAAAAGACTTGCAATAATGGGTCGAGATCGCTTCGCCCTCGGGCCCTTGGTAAAGCTTCGCACTCCAATAACTATCACGAGTTTGGGGAGTGGCAAGCATTGCAGCGCGCAGCTTTTCCTCTGGGATCTGATAGGTAAGAGAGACGTGTTCATCTACGTCTTCGTCGTCCTTGGCTTCCAACTCTCCTTCGGACGAGAGGTCGCTAGATTCTGCATTATCCGAGACATGTCCCGTACTAGCTTCTCCGTCCTGTCTGACAGCATCGCCTGCTTCGTTATGGGTGTGCGGGGTGGGGTCATCGGTACGGGCTGTCGCAGCCACTTCGTCTTGAGGTGAGGAATCGGTCTCTGTAGCTTCAGGGACATCCGGCTTGAGCGCCTCCGCTGTCGCTGTTGTCGCAAAGCGTAGTCCGTGAGCTGGATTCCATAGTCCCACCCGCTGGAATCGGTCAGCACCCAGTGTTGGAGCCGACTCGGCCAGTCGTACGTGTAACGCAGCCGAGGCCTGACGTATTTGGCGATGGTCCCGGGCCATGGAGGCTGAGTCTATAGAAGTAGGCTGAGTAGCAGGAGGTTGTATCGCAGGGACGGGAGTCTTGTGGATTCGTCTAGGAAAGTTGTCGCTTCGAGGAACGGGCCGTCCCCGCTTCCATCGGCAGGTCGAGGAGGATGAGGTGGTAGGTGTCGAGCGTAATGGGGTCGTGTGCATCGCTCTGAGTATATGAGAATACTGTGTATGGCGCTCTACGGAGAAGAAGGCGTGGGTACGCGGCTCATGGCAAACACGCCGTGGGGCATCTGACGCGCTCAGCAGAGAGGCGCGTCGACTGAAGAGCATAACACTCCATGGTAGTGCACCCAATAGGCACCGGCAGGAGGAGATGGTCGCCACGGGTGCGAGTCGATTGTGTGGACGAGGACGTCTGCTGCCTGTTGTGGCGCGAGCAGTGGTTGGCTAGCGCGGCCTGTGGCAGATGCGGTGGTCTTGAACGCCAAGATATCAAGCCCACCACCTGGGCAATCACCACCTTGATTGTACCGACATCTCAAACGCGACAGTTGCTTTCAACGACCGAAACTCAGCTCACAACAAACCACGTCACCATGTCGCTCGAGAACCTTCTTCCGCTAGGTGCGTCTCTGTCCGATCAGGTGTCGGTTCATGACTAAATTACTGCAGAGCTCATCGACAAGTGCGTGGGTTCGCAGATCTGGGTCATCATGAACGGCGGGAAGGAATTCACTGGAAAGCTGGTGGGTTTCGACGACTACGTCAGTAAGTACATCTGGGAAGTCGGGAGATGGAACTATTCTAACAGACACAGACATGGTGCTGGAGAATGTGACGGAAATGTGCGTGCATCCAAGGTTCTTTGCAGGTTTGGCATGAACACGTCCGACTGACGCGATGGCAGTGACCCAGCCGAGGGGAACGTCGAGCTGCCCAAAATCTTACTGAACGGCAACAACATCTGCATGGTATGAAACAGGCTGTTTCGTTTTGCGCCATTACTGACAGCTTCAGATGGTGCCGGGAGGCGATGGGCAAACTGTACTGGAGGACGAGTAGGGCCGATGCGAAGCAGCATCGTATGATTTCAAACCACATTGCGACAACGACGACACGGCCACGACTGCGGTTGGTGCGCCTAGCCCGGCATGGTCTGTTACCGAGAAACACGGCGACGTCAGTCAAAGGGTGACGAGCCGTGGGTCGCGATGGTCACGCTGGGAGAGATGCGAGGCGGTTCTGATGACACGCGCAGGGTCTAGAATGCCATGACCTTGGACCTTGAGATGAGACATAGCGCAATGGAATATCATGGATGTGCATGTGCCCGCCTGTCACGTCACGTGCGTGCTGTGGCCAAGAAACCTTGGAAGCAACGTTCCGCTCCGCTGGCGATGACGCTCGGGCGGAGTGATGCCCAGGGGCCCTGTCCGCCCCTGGCAGCACAGCGATCGGCCACCAGCTGGAGCCATGACGGCTACAGCAACCTACTGACGAAACTTGGAACTGATCAGAGTCGGGAGACGATGGGCTGCAGGGCGTCGCCGCGTGCTGAGCGACTGGATCCAGAATTTTCCATCGCCGATGCAGCCCGTCCCGGGCTTTGAAGGGTCTGCTGTTCGTTCGTACACGACGCCGCCAGCTGCGTCGCATCGCAGATCGAGTGTCGGGTAGTCGCTTAGCTGACGTCGCGAGGCCGTCTGCTCGGCTATACAGCGGTGTTTGCAATGGCAATAGCCATGCCATCATGGCTTCAACATGACGCAAGGCACCTGCGCTGCACTGTGGCAAGGCTCTGGCAGCCTGGCGCACGGCACGAGCTGCGATGGGCATCTGGGAGTTTCCATGGTTGTTACGAGATTGCAATTACGGTCAGCGTGTATTGGCAGCGCACATGGCAGCCCAGGACGTCGCCGGCTCATGCGAACCGGCCCTACTGTAGGTACCGGCGTTTCGTCGATCGTGCCTCTGCGTGAGATGTTCTGTAGACTTGACAGCATCACCCGCTGCCCGCACGCCTCGCAGCCTATCAGCCCACGTCATCGTCAGGACAAGATTCCGCATCAGTGAGCTCCCCGTCCGGAAGACGTGGCTGGAGCGTTCGCTCGCACCGTGGCCCCCCTGGCCGCCCTCTGCCTGTCTGTTCCGCCGATCGCCTGCTCTGATCTCGAGAGCCCTGGCCTAGGTGTTGCTGCACAGTCACACGTCCTTATTTTCTGGCTCCCAGACTCTTGTTTTCGCAAACCCCATCGTCCCATCATCAGCGTCATCCCTCGTCCACGCCGTCCGCTTCTGCTCCGCCCCTGCGCCAATTGCAACGCCCGCGATGATTGCGCCGAATCCTGCCTACTGCTAGCCCTGTCCCTCTCCCTGGGCCTGCTCCTGCACCGCTCTCGCCCGGAACTGCCTGCTCTCACCGCAAACCCAGGCCTCGTGCGACTCTGCGCAGCGCGCACCACCGCTTGGGACGCGCCAAATGAGCTCCGGCCGCTTGCTGACTCTCGACGGCCGTTGTCCTGGCCGCGTATCTACTAGGCTGCGTCCGCTGTCCTCACCACTACAGTAGCCGAGACGCTCCCTCCCTGCCCCTACCACAGCATAATCACAGAATTCTGCTGATCGGTCCGGGACCCACCTACCCCAAACCCAACGTTAGGCGCCACCACTTATGGATGCACCTTAGTCGTTGACTGCTCCTTCTCTTGCTCTTCTCTGCGCATCTGCGCCCTGCAACACTTTGACCCCTACGCGGATTTTCGTTACGAGTCGATCCGCCACACTCGTCGTGCCGCACCAATCACATAGCCACCCCACGACCCAGGCATTTCCTATTTGATCCCTGTACACTAGTTCCGCCATACTCGAGCCCGCTCGATCACGCTCGATTCCCACCCCGTTGCCACTAGTGCTCTAATAATCTACGACACACCAAGTCCTCTCTGGCCCGCGCTGTTCGAGAGTTGGTCGCTACACCACACCGCCCAGTCCACGCGCTCACGCCCTCCTACATGAGCGACTTGAGAGAACGTCTCGCGCGATTGGGACTGTCCCAGTACCACGAAGTGTTCACAGCCGAAGGCTTCGACACTTGGGAGACTGTGCTCGACATTACAGAATCAGACTTGTGCGCAATGGCTCCACCCCTACCTACCCACGCCGCCCCTGCTTACTGTTCCGTAGAAGTTCCCTCAACGTCAAGCTTGGCCATCGTCGGGTACGTCACTATCCTGCGACGTTACCACCAGCAATAACTGACCTCCTCGTAGAAACTTCAACGGGCCATCGCCGAATCGCGCGGACAGTCTTCAGATAGGCCTCTGCCCATCAATCTTGCACGAGCTGGGAGCACTGCCGGCTCGTATCGCAGTGACGACTCGGGGCCAGAGAGCAAAAGCAAGCAGCCAGAGCCCACCAATACTGCACCGAATGGAACAGGGGCCAAGCGGAAGTACCGTCGACATCCCAAGGTAGCCCACTCTGCAGATCCCGTCTGTCGTGCAACATCGCTAACCCAACGTAGCCTGATGAACATGCACCAGAACGTCCACCCTCTGCTTACGTCATATTCTCCAATCGTAAGTCTGGTCTCTGGCCCAACGCGATCACGACTAATTCGCAGCAGAGGTACGAGAATCACTCAAGGGACAAGATCTTACCTTCACCGAGATTGCCAAGGTAGTCGGTGAGAAATGGCAAGTCTTGCCTGCCGAGGAACGCGAAGGTTGTGAACGACAGGCCAACGGTGCCAAAGAGAAGTACTATGCAGAGCTGGCTGAGTACAAAAAGACGCCCCATTTCGAGGCGTACCAAAAGTATCTCGAAGATTTCAAGTCGAAGCACTCAGTGCCCACTAAAGGTCTGTCCACAGCTTCTGTTGTCATGTGCCGCAATGTATTGACATGTGCAGAAGGCAAACGCTCAAAGCTCGAAACCGAAACCAGCACTTCAACACGAGGAGGTAGCAATGAACAGGCCGACCCACCGGCAAACAGGAGATTGAGTTCTATTCAGTCCGATGCCCAAGCAGCATTACAACAAAAACCGGATCCCACTCAACCAATCCCCCCTTCACGGCTACCACCTGGCCCAATCTACGCTTCGAACTCGACATCGCCGGCCAATATTCCCCTTTCTGGCTTCAACTCCCCCCGTTCGGGCGAACAATTCTCCCCCACATCTGCATCTCCACGGACCACGGTCTTGCAAAGAGATGGCGGTGTCTATGACCCATCCGTACCCAATTCCATTCGAGACACGAGGATCCCCTTCGATGCCAATCCGTACCATCAGCCTTCTGCGTACAACCTGGACCTCCACCAAAAGATTGCATCGACTCCACCACCTCCATATCCCCACCCAAATCACTTTCAGGGGCCAAACGACATGCTTTCTCGTCGGACTCCGCGCGACTCCTCGCGTCTCCCCCCGCTCAGTCACGAAGATACGACATTGTCGTCCGAGAGTGGTCACAGCAATCAAGGATCTCAAGGGTACACCTTGTCGGCTTATCCTGGGCAGACATTACCTGCAGACCCGAGTAAGACGATGCGCATGCTTCCCCAGCCAGTGCCCAGTATAGCACCCCTAGCCTCGCCATTGGATCGGCCGATACCGCCCATGCCATCACACCTCTCGCATAATCCCCATGACTATCGCAATCAGGGGTCACTTGCGGTCCTCGTAAGAGCAGGAGAACTGGCATCAAGAGCAGCGGACGACGACATGGTCGAGACCGAAAGCTCACCTTGATTCTTTTTTTGAACGCTATACCAATGTTACAGTACATGATTCGGCATGAGCAGTCCGCATGGCCCGTTCCAGTGGGTAGTGCATACCGCATGCGACCACAAGCTGTTTCGCTGCGAGACGTCAGCAACGACATGACTGCTACGCGTGTACCGCGCATCAGCCAAGCGAGCATGCGCGGGGACGCTTTACGTTTTCATATGTTATTTGCTATTTCGAGATGATACCCCAACGCAACCAGTCCACTTATTGGCCTATCGAATACCAAGTGATTATACGGAGGATGGATCCCTACCTCAAGGATTGAAGTGTTGGAGATGAACTACCGTTCCTTCTAAGTCCGCAACGCACGCGCCGTTCGGATTACGCTACATGCATACAGAGAGCCTGTTCTGGTATGCTAGAGTTCAGGAAGGCTCAGCCTCCACGGTTAATGCCGTAAGCAACACGAATCTTTGCATGTGCAGCGTGTGTGCAAGGGCAAGGAAGGCGTGTAGGATGTACATAGGAAATCTAGATCTATTCGCTTGAATGACACTGCCTAATCCATCTCGAACACCTGGGCATGTGCAGCCGGTCTGAACGGCAGTCTGGATTACTCCATCAACTGCATGATGTGGCGTGATTGGCAGTCAGTCTTGTCTGGGATCAAGAAGCGCACAGTCGTGCAAGGCGGTAACAAATGTTCGCATACGGCGGATTCAATAGCGCCCAATGGAAAGCATGCACCCGACACCAGCTAACTCGCCACTGCAGCCTGCAACCAGAGCTAGGAGTACAGTACATGTGCGCAAGTGGATCTGTTTCGGTCAATTGTCCCGAGCGACATCGAGATCATGGGCTTGGCATGGCGTGTTGAGTGGATTTTGGGGGTTTTACCCATGTCTGCCAACATCGAGGATTTGGCATGCTAATCTGACACCACATGGCCAGGGTCTGAGCAAACCCACCGAAATCACGTGGCAGATGCTACGATGTCCCGCGACAATATAAATCGTCGGTATTTTATGCCGTCGCGCTTGCAGATCGACGGCAAGCCAAAGCGATGGAGTAAGCCCACCCACCCACATCACAAGCCTCCTAACATGGCAGGCAGCAGGACCCGAAATCTGCAATAAAACCAAGTCCTACAAACGCATTTGTCGATGTCCGTCCGCAAGGCGCTCGCTCGGATACAGGGTCGATCGCCAGGACCCTAGTCTGTCCATCTGCCGCGTACAGCGCTCTGCATGGCCCCCGCGGCATTAGCCCTTCCTCGGAGTAAGACAAAGCATCTTGCGATATTCCACAATGAGAAAACAGCTGATTATGTGTTGCGTGATTCTCGCATCCGCATGCATCCTGACATGGTAAAATTAGCATTTCGGCACGTCGTTTCGAAAGGGCAAAGATAAACCGCAAGGGTGTACTAGACATCTGTGCATTATGCAGGTGCTGTGGAGTAAACAAGTTGCAGCTCGACTGACCAGTCAAAGTTAGTCGAGCCAGATATTTGGAACGAGGGATCATGCCATTGCCGCGAAAGAGGGTCCTGCAGACACAGACGTTGGCTGTGGGCTCCGTGGAGCAGTTGTTCTGATCATTATGACGTCCGCGGAGCGTGAACAGGACAGGTCGGCAGCCGAGTCTGTCTGGATCGGCATGCTGGACTGGAAATCGGCCCGCGTCTACACAGTCTTTTCATTTTGCTCTCATGTTGATTACATGGTTACATCAACTGGCATACGGCTACTTTTTTGCTTCACATGTTGATTGTGTAGGTATACTTGGACTCCCGAACTCCTGCATTGCTGCAGGCTTCCGGATTTCGCAGCTGATCCCACCCAAACGCATCAAAGGCATGTTGAGGAAGACTCGCTTCGGTACCTGGGTTCACACACCACTCTAATGTGTCGGGTTCGCAGGAGTTGACCTTCTCGACGCTGTATCCGACGTCCCTAGGCCCTCTACAAGCGCTTGTAATACTCGACGGGTACAAAAAAGACTTTCAGAGCACCTGGTAGCAGTATTCTTGTGCCACTAGCGTAGACAGAAAGGAGAACCCGTCGTACCTCTTGATTTGCTGAGCACTGGACCCGTAACTTGCGTGTCAGTGGCATGTATCTTGTGAATCTCGAGGCCCAATCATCATCCTCGTTCCGAGTAACGTGCAACACAGATTTCGTATATTTTCAGCTAATATGTAGTTCACGGCAAACGCTTCTAAGGTTGCTGCTTCAGCTAGCCCATCGTAGTGTCACAAAGGCAGGAACGAGCCAATCAGGGCCATGTCTACCCTTGTCGATCTCCCGTTCCAGTGCAACGACTCCATCTCTATCATCACGTCCACCATCAGACCTCAGCTTGGCATTCATCGACTTGCCTCTATACTGCACTAAAACCTCTGTGCACACACTTCTAGGTAGTTCTAGACCGTCGCTGTACATCCCGAGGTCTGAATTTGGCGTGTCAGACCAGTCACACGGATCACATCCGCCACCAATCTTCCTTGCAAGAAGCCTGTGGCTTCCCGAATTCTGTACGTAAAAAGGCGCCATGACTGGGGTGTAACAAGACTAACTACTGTGTTGGTAGCCGGGTCACCTACTCGCTGTCCTACACTGGCTCTTGCATTGCAGCGGTCTAGACCTTCGAGGCACCTGTTCTGTCAGCCACCAAGCAGCTATAGCGATCCCGCTTCGATTACCTGTTGTAGCTCATTGCATATTTCCAAGAGTTCCGCTCCGCTACTTGAATCGCCACCATGACTGAGCCCGTCGAAGTCAGAGATTCCGCTCAGTCCAAGCCAGTGCATCCGACACCTGATAACACTACTATCTCTCCTACATCAGGACCAGCTCGCAAATATCTGACCTTGGGGCCTTTGAAGAAACTCGATCTGCCTCATCATCCGTCGTATGATAATGCTAGTTCTGATCATCATGTCACTCTAGCCCAGTTCCTCGACGATATTCTCAACGAGGTACAAGGAATCAACTTTGACGAAGGGTTTGAGAAGCGTGGGACCTGGAGCCCCGACAATGGACATGTGATGATGCCGCCACTGAATGCTACAGGGAACAGCGATATGGTTACAGTCCCAGTCTCGGTCGAGAAGCGTATCAAAGACTTGAACCAAGCCAGTTGGATGGCTAGAACCTCTACCCACAGCAACGCTCATGTCAGATTCTCTGAGTTGGGCGATCTTTTGGCGAAAGATCACAGCCGCAACGAAGCTGCATATACCCCGAGTGTTTTCGATGCTGTCGAGCTATTAAGGTGGGATCCTGAAGAAGCGTTGAGAGCAGTGAGTCACCACGAGGGGATTCATAGTGTGGAAATGTTTAGTGAGCGCCCTCTTGTGCAAGTTACATGACAGTGTGCACCGTTGCTGACACATTTCAGTATCCCAAATGTTCCATATGATGCCCAAGGTAGCCGGGCTGAGTCTACTACAAGATCGTGTGTTTCATGCATTAATAGTTACGATGAACACTCACAAAGCAGAGAGTCTCTCTGACCTCGCTTCGTCTTTTACTGTTCAGCTTCCAATTGATTATGCATCATTTGGCGATGTCAAGATCATGCAAGAGAGAAGTCGGATGGAAACGAAAGGATCTTCGCAACTCTACCGGTTTCCGTCGGACACAGGGTCAGGCGCAACACCTGACGCGAACCAGAAGCAGCGACAGGGGAAGAAGCTGACAGAAGGAACCTACGTCTCGTTGGAGAGGCTGATTGGCGCATCGAAGACACGTGTCGATGGGGATGCTGCGCAGCAAGCAGAGTCGCCCGATAACGACCATCATCGTTGGGATATGGTAAGTTTCATATTCCGCATTCAAGTTTAATGTTGTTGACATGGCGCAGATGACGTTGAGTACGGCGGGGGGCATGACGAAAAAGGCACCGAAGGGCATCCAGCAGAAGGAAACGTTGGAGGCGATCGCAATGGATGTGGAGTATGTTCTATCGTATATCGCGGATCAAAGACGGAAGAGCAGGACTTGAATGGTGATGATGACTGTGAAGGAACCATGTCACATGAGGCAAGGCGAAGCCCGGGCGGGGACGAACCGCGGCGTGCAGATCATCGCGTGGCTGTGACACCATTCCACTTTCTGCACACTTGGACTTCAGCTTTCAGCCTTACGCTGGGGAGACGAGGCCCAGTTTGATGTATCTCAGTATCGCCTTTTTGTACTTAATACCTTGATCAATGTCATCCGATACACCGCAATTGCCTCCGTGATCGCATTCCAGCGCGTGCCGTCCATGTGCATGTCACACTCGTGGAGAGCCTATTAATACACACAGGCACTTCAGCTGGCATCTCGAGCCCACACTCCCAACGAACACGATCCGCCGTCTCCTGCGACACACATGTTGGCTGGTAACGCGACAAGAAACCACAAGATGCAGAACTACGGGCAAGCACCAGGATACCAGCGGCCAGGCAGCACGACGGGCTTCACAGGACAGCAGGGCGCCCCTCCACCAGTCCCGCCACCGCCGCCTGGATATGGAGGTATGTTGATGCACGATAGCACACAGTTCCAAAGTCAGGCACTGACACGATGGCACAGCTTCCCAGGGATACCAAACGTCCGCTCCCCCTGCCCACGGTCAATGGGCTGCGCCCACGCCGACACACACGTCGAATCCATGGAATCAATCGCAACAGCAGGTAGCCGCAGGATATAATCCGGGCACGTATGGCACCATGCCGGGGGCGCAGCATCAATCATATCCTCCTCAGCAACAAGAGCAACCTCCCCCACCTCCACCCAAACCCTACGGCTTCGCAGCGGCGGTCCAACGGCACGAACAACAACAGCAGCAGAACTGGCCACAACAATCGCAACCAGGCACCGGCTTTGCGCCTCATACGCAGCAGGGAGGATATCCGGTGCAAGCAACACCACAGCCATATCATCACGCAGCTCCTCCCCCGCCTTCAACCACACCGGGTGGGACGTACTTCCAGTCTTCGCAGGGAGGTAGACCCAGCTCTATTTATGGGACAGGTCAAGTTAGCTCATACCCACCAGGAGGACCTCAGCAACCCACTGCAGTCAGCAATCAGAGCGAGCAGCAGCCGGCATACGCACAACAGGGTACACAAGTGTACTCGTCTTCGAACACAAACCTAGCAGCCGGCGCATACATTTCTCCCCCACCAGAAGCTCCTTCGTGGCAGCAGGCACAGCATGCGCCACATCAAGGCGGCATGGCCAACTACACCCATACTACACCACATACAGACACAAACACATATGCACATGGACATCATGGTCTACAGCAGCAGCAACCTCCGCCTCTACCTCCACGGCATGGCCAACAGGTTGTTCCTCTACAAAACCATCACCAATCTCAGTATGGTCATTCCACGCCCGTCCAATACAATCCGCAATCGCAGATACCCAACCAGCATCAGCAGCCGTCGGATCAATTCCCACAACCGCAGCAGCATCAATATCAGCAACCTTCGGTTGGGCATCCTTCATATTCCCCAGCGCCGTCGCAGCAACCACCTACACAGACAATATATGAACAGTCTCTGTACGACCAACAAGCGCAGCCATCTCAACAACATCCTCGCCCTCAGGACTCATGGCAGTCCGGATCTCCAGCCCCAGAGCCTAACTATCAATACAATAGACCGCAGGCATACGAGACTCAGCTACCACCCTCGCAAACAGGGTACCAAGCGCAAGAATCAGCTCCACCGCAGCAGTATTCCCAGATCTCGAACCAGGAGGGCCAAGAAACAAAGCCATACAATCGAATCGATACTGCTGGGTCGAACTTCTACCATCAACCAAGCCCGCAGAGTCAGCCTGTGTCTCCGATATCGAATCGTCCTAGTGTGAGCTCTGCCTCTGGCTACCATCCTATCTCTGGGCGCACCGACTCGGTGAGTTCGATAGCTTTGGCCAACCTCTACGCACAGCGCGCAGACAATAAGACATCTTCACCAAAACCGTCCGAGCCGAGACTACCCGCGTCACCTCCACCCAGAGATGACAAGTCCAAGTTTAGTGTTCTGGCTGCCGGTGCACCTTCTGATTGGGAACACCTAGGTGGCAGTGAAGAGATTGACGATGAAGAGCTCTTTGGTGCAAAGAAAGAAGATGTGAAAAGCGACAGTACTCAACCGGAAAGCATTGAGCTGCCCGCTCACGTTCCGCCTCCCCCATCGACGCATGGGTTCCCCAGTCCTGCTGTGCGTCCTGCACACGTGAGTTCGAGCGAATGGGATGAAGGCTTTACACCTACACCGCCGTCTGTGACAACAGGACTTGCTGGACGTCAAGATTCCCAGTCATCAGATCAAGGGTTCATCGTCGGAGATGCAATTGTCGCGCCCTTACGTACTACTCCCAAACCCATACAGGGCACGAGACCCCCTCATCAGCCTGCCGCGTTGAAGACTGGGTCGGGCTCCGCAGAGGGTGGATGGGATACGTCGCAACACACACCTACCCAACCGAAGCATCTTTTTGGGTCACAAACCAGTAATGAATCCACCGGCGTGGTGTCCTCCAGCTACGACTATGCTATACAACTGAAAGAGAAGGACGACCTTATCAACCAATTACGCGCAGATATGGAACGGGAGAAGAAGGAGAAGGATGAAGTTCTCCAACAGTTACACACAGATACAGAACGGGAAAAGGCCGTACTACAAGCAAAGATCGATGAACTTGAAGCTAGTAGCCAGAAAGTCGTGTCTGAGTACGAAGCTAAGAAGGCTCACAGCACGAGCGAGATGGACGTGTTACGTGCACAGATTGAGACTATGAGAATCACCACAGACCAAGCCAGTGTCAACTATGACGCTATGGTGAAGGAGAAGAACACGGCGATTGACATTTTGAAAGAAGATGTGGAAGGGAAGGAGCACAATATTGAAGAGCGTGATAGTTCTGTCGCTGAACTAAAGCGCCAACTTGAAGCCGAAAAGGCGAAAGAGCCGCCGAAACCCACAGCTGCTGATCTGGTACCGGACCTTGATCCGTGGTATATTGGCTCGTTAGAGCGATACATAGCCATGCTTCGAAGTGAGGCCGCGGAACCGCAAGTCGAGGAGAAGGTCAAGATTTTCAAGGCGTTCATGAAAGTCGAGTCTGCCATGCGGGCCATCGTCTCCCTTGATACCTCAACACAAACAGTTCCAGTGGACCCAGAGGTATCACACGAACAGGAGCAAGCTGCTCGCTCTCGTGCAACCTCGAACATATCCACCAAGAGACAAGATCTGAACATCCAGGTACCGCAGGAGTCGGAATTTGACGACTTCGAATATAGTCCTGGCGGTCGACCTATCTTGGCGCGGCAGACTACGATTCCGCCTACTGAAAACTACCAGGGTGTTCCAAGAGCGCCTCCTTCGGTGCAATCAACAACAATTCTAACTCCGACAAGCTCCATTGATGATGATACGAACAAGACGCCAGTGCAATCTCCACCTGAAGAGCAGGTGCAACACCAATACAAGGCATATGTCCCACCTGCTAGCATATCGGTTGACCCTGCTCCATTGAGACACAGACCAACAATGTCCTTCTCCAATACGCCAGGAGTAACCTCACCGTCAGGCCGTAGCAACAGTAAGGGGCACGATGAGATATTCTTTGGAGCTCATCAACCGACTGCTCAGACGCTTGCGTCCCGGCCTTCCAGTAGCGAAGCAGATGTCGCTTTGCCAGCACCATTGAAGCTGACACCGCGCCGCCCGATCTCAACTGCACCAACGAAGGAAGATCCGAACAGAGTGCTGAAGGAACTAGTATCTAAGAAGGTGCATTCCGGCCTTCCAAATCACCGGATTCAGGATACGAGGGCTAGGCTCGTTGACATAGGATCCAAAGCTAGCGCCGCCGAAGAAATTACGAAGACATGGGAGAAATCTGCATCTCTGAGTCGCCGCAAGAAGGACGACGCCCGCCGCAAGCGTCAAGAAGAGAACGAGGAGCACAACGATGATCTATTCAACAACAACGAGATCTCATACGCGGAAATGAATCAGCTCGAGGAAGAGTTCAAGCAGAAGGAGGGAGAGCTCAAAGCGCAAGAGGACCAAGACGAGTATCGTGACTATGTGGAGACCGTATTCGACCCCATCTTCACCGGGCTACATGGCGAGATTAAAGCGTTAATGGACTTGCACGTCGAAGCTAAGCGCATGCTACCGTCTTCTGTCGCTGGACTCAAGAGCATGGAGGGAACCGATACTCCAAGCACAAAAGACTGTTTCGAGCTCCTGAAAGACATCCACGAGCAAGTGGAAAAGAGACACGACGATGTCGTACAACTCGTTGCCGAACGCGACAAACGCTACAAGAAGACGGAGACGCAACCTCTGTACGCCGCTGGCAACATCAGCCAGGTGAAAACCGTGGAGAAACACTACGACAACGCTGAGAAGCAAGCTGTGTTCAAAGCTAAGCGCGAGAAGGCTGAACGTGTAGGCGAGCTTGTCCGCCTTGTCGAGGACATGATTGTCAGTGCAGTCAGCACTGAGCAAAAAGAAATTGACCACATCGTTGCAGCTATCAAGGACCTTGAGGATGGCAGCGGTGATCCAGCGGTCCTCGATGATGCACACACTGCTCTTAAGGCTCTGAAGGAGTCTTCTAAGGCGCTTCTCTCCCTTTTCAACGCACTGGAGATTGAATCCAACAACGCCGATATCGACGCGGAGATTGCGCAAGTGACAGCCGATGGTGCAGATCCAGCGCGCATAGGTGAATTGGAGGCTGAAAAGAGGGAAGCAGAGAAGGACTTGGTGGAGGAATTTCAAAGGAGGGTTAGTGTGCTGGATAGCGATGGGGCTGAACTCGGAGAGTTGGTGCAGAGGAAGATGGGAAAGAGTAGCGAAGACGCAGAGAAGGAAAATCGATTACGAATGGCGCTGGAGGAAGCGAAGAGGCGGAATGGTCATGCTTGATGAAGGTATAGTCTTATGTATTTACGAAATGTGGCATTTTCTCATGTCTATAATGTGTAGTTCATGGGTATCACAACGACCCCACTGTCAGTTACAAATGTTCCTACTTCTCATCTTCGCCAGGCTTCTATCCTTCAAGACCACTGTCCTTCCTCTCCCTCACTGGCCTCTTCGGCTTCTCCTCCACTTCCACTTCTACCTTCTTCTCATCCTCACTCAAATGCGTCCTCCGATCAATATCCAGCCTCTTCTGAAAGTACTCCCCAACACCAAACTCATCGTACCGCTTCCCCTCCTCTCTCAAATGCGGCACAACACTAACCTTTGCATCTTCATTCGGGCTAAAGAAGAACGGCATACTATACCTCTCCTCGCCCCCGATATTCCTCACTCTATGCACAGTACTCTGCCACGAGCCGCCCGTAACCAACTTGAGGAAATCCGCAATATTGACAACGAACGTGTTGGGTTGGGGATGGACAGGGACCCAGATACCGTTCGCGTTCAGTACTTCGAGAGCCGGGTACGCCGTTTTGGATTGGCATACGAGCGTGAACCAGCAAAAGTCTGTGTGGGCACCGATTCCTACGTCGCTTTGACGCTCTTGGGGTGGGTAGTGGACGGCGCGGACGTTGGTCATGGGGTGTGTGGTTATGGTGTCGAAGTAGTCTTCGGGGAGGTCGAGAGCGAGAGCAAAGATGTGGAGCATGCGTTTGCTGAATTCGAACATGGATTTGTAGTAGCGGTAGATGGCTGGGCGCCAGAAGAGGGCGGACGGGTGGCTGGGCCATTGGTTGCGCGGGGTTTGTGGTGAGGGAGGAAGCGAGGAGATGAGGGGGAGTTGTTCTGAGTCGGTGAAGTCTTCGCCCATTAGGAAGCCTTCTTTTAGATCTAGATAGTGGTGTTAGAGGGATGAGTCGTTGTGTGAGTGGAGGCAGTGAAGACGTTACCTCCTCGTGTACTTGGGTCGAGTTTGCCTTCCAAGAACGCTTCGTAACCCCTGAACTTCTCCGTCTTCTGGTTGTGTGTCTCCATTTTGACGTCGGTTGGTAACGCGAAGTACTCCTTCAACGCATCGAAAGTGTCTTCCAGTACATCATCGTCTACCCCGTGGTTCACTGCGTAGAAGAAGCCTATGTCTCGACATGCGGCGCCGACTTCTCTGGCTAGCTCTTTCCTGTCCTCCAGGTTGTCCGAGTATATGCGTCTGAAGTCGATTTTTGGCAGTTCGGTGAACGTCTCTTTAGCAGCGGTGCCCTTGAGAACCGGCCTTCGACCAGGAACACCACCATCGTGGTAGTGGACCCATGTATCCGCGTACGTCTCCGTCTCGATAGTGGTAGTCGACATACTGTGATAAATGATGAATTATCTGCTGCTCAGATAGTCTTGAGGAGTGAAATCATACAAAGCAGCAAGAGATTGCGAAGGCAACAAGGTATACAAAGCCGGTAATCCACTGCAGCGGGACGTACCGCAACCTTAATACGCAAGCCGACACTCATCCTACCATAAGCCGAATCACATCCAGCTGGGAAGAAAAACGTCGGCTAAGTTGAAGGCTGCACGAGGGCTCCTACAGACCAATCGTGCCAGCCCACGTCGTACGGTGAGGCGTAGTTGTCGTAAGCTGGACAAACCACATACCTGCGCATGAACGGTGTGGTGTCATCATGCCCAAGATTCCGAGGTTCACGCCCTCGGACAAGAGCGCATGCCGGGGAGGTCTATCGCCGCTCACCGGTCTACTTGCCTACGTATGGACAGTGTGAAGCGGAGCAAGATCCGGAGCTGGTATAGGACCGATGCTGTGCATACAAGGCGCTCGAGAGGGTGCGGAAGAGTACAGCAAGGCTGCTCTATGCGAACTACCTCGCGTACTCTGGAGTACTGCGTCTGTCTACCTCTTGCGCATGTCAAAGTACTGTTTCGAAACCCAGTAGATTGCCTCTTCTCTCGACAGTCTCGCATGTCAGCTGGACGTTTGCTGAATTCTCTACGTCACCCCTTACATCCCCCACCAAAAGCATGCATCCCAATGAGGCATTATCTGCAGCCACAGTGTAGCGGTCGGACGACCCTCCATAACGGCGGCAGGACCATACCAGGTGATGGAGGAGCGGCGGACTGCGTTGATAGCGTACCGAGCCATCGGATACCGGAGTTGAGCGCGACTGGAATGGGTTGTTAGTTCACCACGTTGATAGAGGGCGGCTCGTATGTGGTGGTGTGCTCGTCAGAATCGGCAGTTGGAAGTGACACATTCGCTCGGAACACCTTTCCTGGGACTTGCATGGCGATACTGCAGTGCAAGGCTTCGAGAAGGTGCATTCAGACCATGCGCATGACGCTGTCTTGATGGAACAGTAGAAGGATGAGTGCCCCGCTGTGGGTGGTTGTCCCGGGTTGCAAATCCCCCGCGCATGACGCTTGCCTCTTGCCGAAGACCCTTTATGGGCGGAATACCAGCATCGTCCTATCAAAGCATTTCGCGAGGTCTAAAATAACTGACTGCCGATGGTGCTAACGAGAGGAGAAAAGCAAGTATTAGTGCGCAAATCGTATGTAAGCGGTGAAGGGACTGTATGAATGTTGGGATCGGCCATGTGATGATGTAATACTTGGGCACTCTCAGGCCGTTGGAAGACGCCTGCGTAGTATGCATGGACGCCCAATCAACACACTATCGTGATGAGAAAGCACGCTATCTCGAAAGAATGGCATGGCAGCCGCATCGAAAAGCTGATTAGCCAAGCATGGCAGTCAGTAGGATGATCAAGCAACTGAATACCATTATGCTAGTTAGGTTAGACAATGTTGAAAATCATAGAAAGATACACCAACTCCTCCGCCCACAGACCTAAAGCCTTGCAATTCCGGGGATATCATGAACCGTAAAAGAGAAACCGAATGCCTCATAGACTACTCCAGGTAGGCAGCGCATCATACACGACTACAATGTACCATGATGTCGTTGACCGCTGAACAGGTCAGACTTATTTCTTGCCCAACTTGTTCAACAAATCCTTGCCCTTGCCGAGCAGGCCCTTGCCGTTGTCCTCGCGCTTCTCGTCCTCGCTCTTGCGCTTAGCCTCGGCGCTCTTTCGCTGCGCGGGTTGTCCATCACCGATAATGTTGGCGGCACCTCCACGACCGTAGTGCTTGGGTCCTTGTGGCTCTGGGTGCGGCTTGCTTTCGACGTCTTGGGCAGCGCGCGCAAGGTCAGGACGCTCGGGGTCGTTGCGCGCCATGTTTCCAGTTCCACCTCGGCCCGTGGTGTAGGTGTTGGACTTGAGGGTTGGGGTAACGAGATCTTCTGGCTTGGGGTAGTTGGTAGGGTCGTCCTTTGCGATGTTGCCTGCAAACGTCAGTGGTCGCTCGGACGCAGAAGCTGGTGAACAATCGCAGGCACTCCAAGGGCTGCTTTGGCTATGCGACAGAGGGAGGGAGTCTTTGCGCGCTGGTGTGCGCTGCAAAGACATACAGACCCAGCCGTTCCACTGCAAGCGTCGCGGAGTCGCGCTTCACGTCTGGAGGAAAGTATAGGTAGGCTTACCAGCACCTCCGCGCCCGTGCGACGCAACACGCTGGTACTCGTTCGGTCGAGTGGTCATCCTGGGCGAATTGTTGTTGAAGTGAGCTTTGGGAGCACGATCGGTAGCAGGCTGCTGTTGTGGGAGTGTGTTCGCTGGCGCAAACCGTTAAGTCGCGGCGGTTACTTGGGTACAAAGCGTCAAGGTGAGAGAGATTGAACAAGGCCCAAGTGATGACGCGATGGCAGTCACAACACTTCTTATATTGACCGTGCTCTTGGCTCTTCCGTGAGCAGCAAGCCAGGCGCAAGGACAAGACTTTCAAGGACTGTGCTCCGTTTTGCGCGCCAGAAGGAATCGTGGTCGCTGAAGACCTTGGTGACAAGCACCAGTCGTCTGCTCGCGCCTGGGCACGACGCGCCGGTGGTGCTCATTCTGGTTGACTAGGCGGCACGTTGCTTTCTGAGCCGTGAAAATCTCCATGCTGTGCGCGTGCGTGACTCTGTTTTTGGGTTTCTGTGACTAACGTCTAGTTGCTGCTGCGGGGTCCATAAGCCGAGCACTATGGGCGGGAGAACGTCATGCTCGAGTCGAAAGACGAGATCTGGGAGTCGGTAGCGAGGTCATCAGGTATTTTGAGAATGTACAAAAAGCTGCCTGGAGGTTTGCTTACGACGCAAAGGCGCGCATATATGATACACGCACCCACGGGGAGCAGAAGCAAGCATGTAGGCGCGTCCACGCGGTACAGTAATCTCATTATCTATGCCAAGGCTTGGGCAAGGCAGCGTGGGGTAGATACAGATACGCGAGTGAACACCCAGTTCAACAATCCCATCAACCTTAACTTTCCTTCCTCACAGCCCAGTTTCAGTGCAGAAAGTCTTTTCGAACTTGAAGTTGTTTGATTGTCATAGCCACGGAGTGTGGCTACTCATTATCTACTCTATGATACATGTCGTATGGAAGCGAATCCAATAATGCATCGACGCAATGCCCATCTATCTCGCCTGGAAGGCGCCAAACGAAAACCCGGCTATGAAGTAGCCCTGCTTTCTATGAAAACGCCGTCTATATCCCCAGAAAGCAACCGTTGCCATGTCCGTTGCACAGTCTCTTATTGTACAGTAAAAGAAGACCCCAAACGCCCAAGATGCAATTGGTGTTACAGAATAATGTCGAAGTCGAAGTAGGAAATGGTGTACCGGAAGGACGATGCGATGTTGCTGCTAGTTCAGGGCCAAAGCCGCGAATAGCATGTGTAGGAGTCGTTGGTGTTGTAGTTGTTTATATCGATCCGTGTTTGTTTGGGAGTGATGATGGAGATATGAAGTCGGTCTGTTGAGCTGAATGAAGGACTGTAAATATGATCTAGGCCACGTTAGTCTGGGCATGGGCAGAGTGAAGATGATTGAACCTACCGAAGTCGTTCTCAAGCTCATTACCCGCCATCGCGAGGTTGGGGCTCTGTTCCTGCCATGGAAAGCAACATTGATGATGATAGTCTTGCGCCTGGGTTTGGTGCTCCGCCGTCTCGAGGTTGAGGGTCGGCGTAGGAGGGGTTGTTGTTTTGCTCAAGAAGGCCCATGGTGGTGTGGTAGTTGTATATGGATTTGAGTTGGGGTTGGGGCTGAGATGGCTTGCTGATAGGCGTGGCTAAAGGTTGCGGGCTGTGGTTCGTGTAAGGTATGCAGGCAGAGTCAAGGTTGAGATGTGGTTGATGAGGTTTTAAGCCTTTGGAGGCGTTTGTATTGTCTATAAATCTATCCTGAGGCCTGTCGTAGTGTCTCAATGCCCGCCAGGAACAGGCAATGACTGCCTTCTTTCAGGCTGTGACGCAGCGAGAGTTGAGATTAATCCGCTCCGGTGATTCAATTGCTTGTCAAAAGAACCATGACTGCGCCACTGGAGAGGAAATTGAAAATGCTCATTGGGTGTGACCTGAGATACAAGGCGATTTCCAGGCTGCCTTCCTTCTAGCGTGCTTCCAGAAGGCTAACAGCCCTGTCTACCTCGATGGTGACTCCTTTAGTCACCGCCGTTTAGCAGCAGAGCCACGGTGTTGAAGCCGAATGACGGGCCAGGGCCCAATCTCCAGGCAGAAAAGCGGCCAGTGGATACCGAAAATGGTGAACTGACGTTCGGTGCCTAGTAGGGCTGGGTGAAGTTTGTGGGCACATGGGTTGCACAGCCGCAGCCTTAGAGCCACACCGCGGCGGGGCGCACACAAGGCACCCACAGGCAACTTCGCGGTTTGGCCTCTTGGATAAGTAGCAGCCCCAGGTCCTCCAAGTCGCCTCGGTCGTGTCGTTGATGACTCCTGTGCCTGTACTGCTCACCGGAGCAAACACAGCCCGGAGCAGCATTCTCCCGATCGGTCGTTGCTGTGGTGCTGCGCCTCGTGAATCGATCTCAGCGATAGCGCGTCTCGGACCTAGCAGGGAGGACGGGGGCCAGGGGAGCGACAGCCGGATCGCGAGACAAAAGCGACGCGGTTGCACTGCAACATGCTGAGCAGCTTTTTTCCATGGCAATAAGGAATGCGAAATCGGTTTTCGAAACAGAACGTATGGTGCGCCAGCCGAGATGCAGGAGATGGGTGGTGGTTGATTGGTGGTGAAGGCGCAGCCTTTCTTTCATTTGTCGGCCTGGGTAAGCGGCTTTCCTGATGTGGCTGTTAGCGATGGAACTCCAGGACCATTCTTTTGGGAAACACTTACGGCCACCATCACCAGGCTGACCATTGCCGGGGTTCTTGGGTTTGTACATCGCGGAGACCATATTGTCGGATTTGGCTGTGATAATGTTGTACGGGCGGTGTTCAGATTGGTGCAGGTGTGCTTAAGAGTGGGTAGAGGTGAGACTTTGTGTGAGACTTTAAAGATTCGCAAACGTTGTTTTGTATGGTAGCGGTGCAACAGGAGTGTCAGTACTTGTGACAGTGGACCGATAGCTGGGACATATATATTTAACTTCTGAAGTCATGGTCCTCCAGTAACTCATGATACTGACGTCTACCTTGGCCGTGTCCTCCATGATCCACGGGGCAACGGACGGGCCATCAGAGGGCACCCAGTACGTGGCCCTTCGGTGCGTATGGCAGGCACAGCCAACTGGAAGTGAAGCAATCGCACATTGCTTCTCTGGGATGACTCTTGGACGGCGTCTGAAAGGGGATGGAACAGGACAAAGCTGTCACCCCCACAATTCAGTGTGAAACAGCCAATCGTGGATCCGCCTCGCTGACCCGGTGTCTCAAAGAATCGTCGACAAGCCTGGCATCCGTGCCTGAATAACATAAGCTGTCGCGCCTATGTGAGGAAGGTCCTGGGGGACTAGAAGCTGCGGAAGCCGAACCCATTCGCTGCTTCACTCTCGCCATCCCTGCCCATCGAGGCCCGAGACCCAGCAGCACCCCTTCACAACCTTTCATAAGGTGTTTCTAGATGCCTTCTAGGTGCTTCGCCGAACAGCCGTTATGCCGTCATAGGACAGCGCGTCACCGCGTCTCAGGCCACGCGCGGTCCACCAGAGCCGCATGCGCTGGCGACACAAGATCACGAGGTTCCCGGATGCTGCTCCCAGACACGCTGTCACGTTCAAACGAGCCACGCCGCCAGTGCGCGCTAGGTCTGGATCGGTCGGCCCGCTCTCGGAGACGCAGGTACAGGCCTGTAGGGTGCGCCTACTGACGTCTCGAGAGCCTTCGTCAGCCAGAGAGACGGCCAGCCAGGGCTCCGTTTCATCCCTTTTGCGGATGACACCTGGGCAGAGAGCTGGACCTGTGGCCGTGGACAAGACTGGGAAGTTTACGCGTTCCCAGTGGCCACGCCCTCCTTCGGTGCCCGGCTGCGCCCCAGCGCCCTTTACCAATCATCGACACATTGGAAAACCGCGCAGTTGCTGCGACAACATGTCGGGGAAAGCCCTACAGGTCGCCCTGCAGTGCCCCTCAGAGAAGGACTCTATAGTAGCCTTTTGCCTGCTGAAGGACTCTTTGCCTTGGCTCCAAAGCAACACGAACAGAGCCTCCAAGGTCCTCCTGAGATCGCCACTCAGCATGCGCTGCACAGCCAGCGGACACAAAGTCTGAGTCGAGCACGAAGGACTACGGAAGTCCTCTGGTCCCAGGGGCTATAACCTTTCGGGTACCACGCGCGCCTCATCTTACAATAGCAACCAGATCTGAGACGATCTCAACTGTGAAAACCTTGGCTGGCGAGACTTTGAGTTGGTTTGGGTAATTCCAGACGCGCCGCTTGGCTGTAACTCGTGATTTGGGTTGCGCTTGCCGATGCACGTGTTGGACGTTAGCCAGACTGAAGTCTATCCTCAGAGACACTCATCTCGCGGAGGAGGGTTAACCACCCTCTATGCGCGCATCTGCGATCGATGCACAGCGACGCGCGTGTGCCGTCATGAAATGTCCGAGTTGAGAATGCCATGGTCTGCACAGTGCATTGGGCTCGCCCCAGAAGAAGCTTCATCTCTACGGCTTTACTTGCTAGTCAGTGCATCGCCATAGGGTTATGCATCCTCAGGTACAACTGTGGCGGTCGCGCATCGGTGCCTTGTTACTTTCACACTTTGCGCGTGTTGATCTGGTCGCGTGCCTGCCCAACACAATGCCTTGGAGCGTAATGGCCATCAACACCAGTGTTACAGTATTCAGAGGAGAGGTTGACAGTGAATGTAGTCCACGCAGCCTTGCTTGCGTCATGTGTAGATTCTAGTTGCCGGGCGATCAATCTTGCGCCATGTTGGATCTACGAGACCCTGCCGCCAGCCGCCAGCGGTCACTGCTCCACCCTGCCAAAAGCTCCCCGCAGCCACCACGCGCGAAGCATCGCTGGACCCCGATAATGGGAAAACACACGCACTCGCATACAACCACCACAGTCTCTACCGTGATATCTGAACCATGGCGACCAAGTCCAACTTTAAGCGGGCGGTGCCCCCGACACAGCCGTCGGTCCTCGCATCGCTGAGGACCACGCAGTTGGTGCACGATTCGAAAGCTGTGTTGCCAGCCGGTAGGGAGACAGTACCATACCAAGTCCGCCGTCTGACGAAACAACGTAGAGCTCATCAATGCCATCCTCGACTACCTTCCCGTCGCCGACATGTTCAGCTTCGCGCGCACCTCGAGACGCATGCGCGAGATGGTATACGACGACACCAGGTGGATTCAAAGACTTCGGAGCATGGGCTGCTGGAATGAAGCCGAGGCCAAACAACGGTTTGAGGAATCCATGCGGGAAAAGCTCGAGGCACAAAAAGCGGAGGAGGCCCGGAGGTCTGGTGTGGCACTCAATGGCAGCACCAACGGGATGCCTCTGGGGGACGACGTACCTGGCAAGACAAGCATGACACTGTTCGATGCCACCATAGAGGAAGATATGCTGCGGAAGTCTCAGGAACACCGAAGTAGACCTCGCGCTACCACGCTGGACAAGGGCTTCAATGACATGACATTGTCACCTTCCGGGACGTTGGCACAGAGCTCGTACGCGGTGGATCCGCAGGCAGCTGTCAAGGTCCTTGCAAATGTACGCTCGATTCGAGGCATGGCGCGGCAAGAGTACGGCAAAGTCTACGGGGCGCTGGCCCCGTTCTACTACGACTTGGAGAGGTCAAGAAGTCATACAGACCCTATTCTGTTTCGGACCTACCGCGATCCCGAGCAACAGGCTCAGATGCTGGCGCAGCTCAAGATATTTGCAAAAAGCGATTATGCGCAAGGTTGGAGCCAGCGCGAGGAGAAACTAGACACGATGACTGGCATCTTCGAGAATGCTGTACTCCGAGAGTTTGAGCAAGGCTATGCAGACAAAGACTTTGACGGACGTATGAAGAGATTTGCTACCGTCCTCGTGGCTCTAAACGGCGGCGCGGCATGTTTGGACTCTTTTATTCACAACCACCCTTTGATGTTGGAGAAAGAGAAGCTCGGTGACCCTGCAGATTGCCTACGCAACGAAGTGCTGACACTGGAACCATCCCATGAGTTTTTCAGAGGACTGGCAAGTGCGCTCAACGAAGAAGCAGACATTATCGATCGTGTCTTTCCCCCCACTGTCGACGTGCTACAAACCTTCTTTGAGCGCGTTGCGGATGACGTCATCGCCGAATATCTCACGACTTTGTTCGACGAGGCTCACGATATTAGCATCGAAGCATATCTGAAAGCAGTTGCGGGACTGTATGAGCAAGCGCTGCAACTTGCAGTCTCGTTACATCCTACCAATGCATCGAAGCCCGATTTCCGCGACGAAGCCATGCGCATCGTGTCTCGTTGCTTTGAGCAACACATCGACCTTTACCTACAAGAGGAATTAGATTACTTCAAGCGAAAGTCAGCTGCAGAGGTCGACCTGTGGGAGAAGCGTTTAATGGAAGAAGAGCAGAGCACCGAAACCTTATACATGGCCAATGTCAACAGGAAAGCTGTTAAACAAGACTTTCTATCATCCTTCAAGAAGGTGGTCATGATGCCTGTCAATGTACTCCCAACTATTGGGGGCTCTAGTGCTAGCAAGCCCAACGAAAGCGTAACTGGCATGAACGGCACTAATACTTTGGACCCTACCTCAAGACTCGGTACTCCTCTCTCTGGTGAACGGTCGCCTACACCGCGAATCGAAGCCCCAACCACTGAACTTGCCGCCAAGGCAGCAATCATGAACTCGCGTTTAGAGGGCATCCGATCGCTGTTTAGTATCGAAGTGGCGCTGAACCTGACACACATGGCCAAGTCCGGGTTGGAAAGAGCCGCGCGATTTGTTAGACTTGGTGGCCAATCTGGTGAAGAGGCGAAGGAACAATCTGAGCAGATCTTTATCAACCTAGTCCAGATTCTCGGCAACCGCCATATGAAGTTGGGTTTCGACAAGGCTGTCAGTCATTTGGCTGACTACAAGCCGCGAGAAGTCGCGGATCATAGCAAAGAGGGCGTTGCGCCACTGGTAGCATTTTTGGAATTGGTCAATGTTGGCGACTTGATCCAACAGATGGTTGAGGTGTTCTATCTCCAGGAGCTTGTGGCTGCCAATCTGACCGACCGCGACGATTTCCTCAGCCTTGCCGCAAAGGAGAAGAAGCGCTTTGAGGCCATGTTGGATGAGCGTGTCGCTGCAGGTCTCAACAAAGGTATCGATGTGCTGATGGACGAAGTTGAGTATCTCTGCGGCACTACACAACAACCATCCGATTTTAATCCTCCAGTCGGGCCCAATGGGCAGGTGCAGATGTCCGACATTGGACCTAGCCAAACGGCAACGAAGATTGTGGAAGTTGTTTCGTCACACACAAACATGCTCATCGGCAGCACAGACAAGAACGTCCTGGACGTCTTCAACCAAGAAGTTGGTGTGCGCTTGTTCACTGCTCTCTGCAAGCACTTGAAACGTCAGAGAATCAGTGTGGATGGCGCCATCAAACTCATCAGGTATGACACATGATCCGTAGACCTAGACATGAACTAATCCCAGCAGTGACATGAATGCATACAACGCGTACATCGTATCGCTGCGCAACAAGCCCCTTATGCAGTACTTCGCCGCGCTTCGCGAACTCTCTCAGATATATCTCATCGACGCAAAGGAAGCGAAAGAGATCGCTACCATCATTGCCGACACGGACAGATACCACGGCATATTCCGAGCAGAAGAGGTGTATGAGTTCGCGGAGAGAAGAGCGGATTGGTATCAAATCAAGAGTGCGGTGGAAAAGCAGATGTATGGAGTAGGCTGTCTGGTTATGTGAAGTTGTTGGCGGCTTCAACCATGGAAGTGGCGTCAACTCGAATGGTTCCAAGGTTGAAAGCGAGGCGGTTGGACCCCGACTAGTGGCATACATAGATTACCGCATTTGGCATGGAAACCAACAAATACGCAGCTTGCAGCTTGTGCAGGCGATGCGATGCATGACGGAAAACCTATGTCTCTGACAATTGCGCGCGTGCAAGCACTGTGAGGGCCAACAAGAGTGTCGGGATTGCTTTTCTTTGTCGGATCGAACTACTTAGATGGTCGTGGTTCCCAGCCTCCATCGGCGTACCTGAGCTAGACGGCGCCCGTGCATTCGACTTCACACCTCATCGCGCATGCTGCAACGATCTATGAACCTTAGTTCTGTTCACCTGCCCCGTTCATCTCCACGACACCACCCACGCTCCGCTGCAACTACTTTCTAAATTTGAGCCTCTTCCCACACGAGATTGCTGTCGCTTGCCCGTGACTGCACCCCACTACGGAACTACCCTTTTGAGGCGCCCGACCTACTTGGCTGCCCGGGCACCTTCGCTGGCCCTCTCTCACCCGTCTTGGAGTTTATTGCGCGACGACGCTTGCCGATCGCTACGTGAGAGACTGGCGACATTCCCGCCATACGCGACGCTCTCTACGTATCTTCTGCATCCATCCACATCTTAGGTCCCATTGGTGGTTCCGCGACCCTGGTACCAACCGCGGTTCTTTGCACGACATAGCCACCACGAACATCGCAGCTGCATCGGAGCTCCGCGATAATTTGCGGTTTGGAGACTGCTCCCCGCGGCGACTACCTCTCTACCTACAGCGTCTACCTTTGCAACTTCTTGCTGTCGAGACTTGAAATATCGCAGCCATGGCAGGTACGTGCCCGCTTGCCGTCTGCTACGCGTATGTCTACATTCTAACGTGTCACAGCAGACCCTCTCCCCGCCGAAGTGCAAGCTTCCTACTCGGTCATTATCGACGAAATCCTACGCGCCAGCGACATCAACACCATCAGCGCAAAGCGCATACGGAAAGGATTACAAGAGAGAGTCGAGGATGACCTTTCACAGCAGAAGGTTTGAAGCTCAATATCACATACAGCGGCATATACTGAGACTCGCAAATAGGACCAGATTACCGTGCTCATTATGCAGCGGTTTGACAAATTCAACAACGAGCAGAATGGCGGATCCGAGGTTTCTGAACCTATACCCACAGTCGAGAACGGCGCAAAGGCCTCGAATGACGATACCTCCGACGTCTCCCACAACAAGCGATCGCCGCCCGATGACGAGTCAGCGCTGTCTGAGGTCGAAGATGTTGCGCCTCCTAAGAAGAAGGTCAAGAAGACCAAGGTCAAGGACGAGGATGACGATGCTGCATTCGCGGCGAGATTACAGGCTGAGGAGAATGCGCGCATGGGTAGGGCGACACGCGGCGGGAACACAAAGCGGAAAGTAGCTGCGCCGAAGAAGACCAAGACCAAGAAGAAGAGCTCGACCAGGATCAAGGATGAAGACGACAGCGACATCGCATCAGGTAGTGGAGGCGAGAAGAAGAGCCCGAGCCGGAAAGGAGGTTTCCATGTAAGTCAACCTCATCTAGTCTACATCATCACCCCAAGCCAAAGCTAACCACACCCAGAAACCCATGGCTCTCTCACCAGCCCTCTCCGAACTCCTCGGCGAAACCCAGCTCTCGCGCCCCCAGACCGTTAAGAAGATATGGGAGTACGTCAAGGAGCGCGAGCTACAAGACCCGGACGACAGGCGCCAAATCCGCTGTGACGATGCCATGCGGGCAGTCTTCAAACAGGACCGCGTCCACATGTTCACCATGAACAAGATTCTTAACCAGAATCTCTACGCCGTAGACGAGGTCGTCGAATGATCCGCCTGGTCCATCAACTCATCATACTTTGAACTCCACGCTTTCCGACGCATGCATGTCCGGCAAGCGGAAGAGCAAGTAAATCTAATCTACACAACCACATACTGCATCCCACAAACCCCACATCCGTCCTCTTATCACGACAATATCACGAACATCCGTATCCATCCGCGACAGTCACCGACGCTCAGAGTCACCCGTCGTCATCGTTTTCCTCAGTCTCACTTGATTCTAGCAGCATGGCGCATTTACGGTGTTTTCCTCCTTGGTTTCCAGAAGCGCGCATCTTGGCCCCCACCCTTTGTGTAGGGACTGGGGTACATGGGGTCTTTCTTCATACTATTGTCTTGCGTAACCTTTTCCTTGAACCAAAAGAGAAACTGGATGGATGGCTTGGTTGGGGAAGGGAGGGCAGAATGGGTATATGCTTGATAAAGACAGGGACAAACAGTTGGTGGGACTGGAGGAAGGGTCGCTTCCTCTGGTCGACGACGTTTGCTACATCTTAATGAAATGCTATTATCAAATGGACAGTCTGTTGACGGTGATTTTACATTGGTGGTATATGACTTGATGTGTAGTAGTGACAGTGAAACGGGTGGTGTTCAATACAAGTACAATCATGCTATGTATTATGCATAGTAAGCCACCGTGATAGCATGTAGACCCAAATAATCATTCGCGCATAAAGCAAAAGGTATCCAATACCGGTACTCCACAACCCATTAACAGTACAATGACGAACAAAGTGGTCATCCGCAGACGCTTTGATATCCCACTTCCAAACTCTCCATGACGGCCTAGAAACCTTCAGGGAGTTGAAGCTGGAAATTCTCGTTATCTTCATCGAGTGGATCTTCACCGTGTAGCTGCGTGTTGAAGCTATTCATCCACGCATCATCGTCCTCGTCGTCGGAGCGCGACAGAAGCAACAACTCCATTTCACGCTCTACATCTTCAGCCGTGCGGCGGGGCTGCTCTTCCTCTGGAGGTGTGACAAGGGTGGCATTGGTGGAAGTTGAGCTGCAGCGGGACACTGGGCCGCGACCTCGCATGGTACCAGTGTTTGTGCTGGCACTGCGGATATGCGTCGAGGAGGCGGGTCGGGGGCCAGCGGAGAAAGGAGCGGGCTTGGTGACGTTGGAGAGAGGCTTGCGTGCAGCTGGGGCTGCGCGTCCGGCGCGGCCTTGGGCGTAGCCGATGGTGCTCTTGGAGGCTGCTGCGGCGGATGCTTGACGGGATGCTGTAAGCTCGGTGGGCGTCTTTGCTCCCTTCCTGCCAGCGACTAGTCCAGTGGGTACACGCGACTTCACAGCTGCAGTGGGAGCAGCGTAGCTAGGCTTGGACGGTGGAGAAAGAGCGGCGGCTGCAGATCTGGCTCGCATGGTCGATGGTCCGGTGGCCGCCTTTCTGAGGGCAGCAGGTGCCTTGGGAGCGTCCTTCTTCGGCTCCTTGATACCGTAGTACTCCTTCGTCTCTGCATCGTCCTTGGCCATCTGCGCCGCGAGTATCTTGTCCATCTGCTCATCGCGCTTCTTCCGACCCTGCTCTATCTCCTCCTCGAACTTGCGCTGCTCACGCGTCCTTCCGTCGTCCTCAATTGGGTTGTGGTAGGCTTGCCAAATACCGCGGACCATGTCCTGGTTACTGAGCTTGGGCATGGTCCAGTTCTTGGGTAGGTATTCCTCCATGTCATCTTCGAGCGGGACCTCCTTGGGGGGCATGTATTCGATCTCAGGCACGTCATCTTCGGACTCTTGCGCGACTTCCGGCTGGTGGACCTTGACTTTGGGGCGGCGCAGGCGAGGGCTGAGCTTCTGCGTCTTTGCGGAGGAGAGGGGCGCTGGGGTTCCAAAGGGCCTGGATTTCGCGTTGGTCGTCTTCATGCCCAGCGGCGCGCGCGTGCGCGGACCTAAACACGTCAGTTGTCGTCTTGCGCAGTCTGCCATGTCTTCTCTTACCGGCTGGCGTCACAAAGGCATTCTGGTCGATCTTGCCGCCCTTGTTGGTGGTGAAGAGCTCGTTTCCCTTGCCCTTGGTCTGCAGGACCGACTTTCCCGCTTTTCCCACGGCATTTTCGTCGTTGAGGGGGATCTTGAAAGGCGTCTTGGGGGCTTTGTTTCCGGGTGTTTTGGCGTTGAAGCCCTTGAGGCCGGCATTGAGCGACTTTCCCGCCGCACCCGCGTGCAGATGGCGGACTGCGTTCTCCTGGTCGTTTGCTGCGAGGGTAGCCATTCTGGCGGTTACATTGAGCGAGTCGTGCGGCTATCTCTATCGGGTGTTGGCGATGATGGCATGCGATGTTCGCGGCCAGTGTTTACGTCCGGTTGCTAGGGCGGCAGCAAAGAGGGTCTGGGCTTCGCACAGGGTCCGGGCGGAGGTAGCGCCTGCCCGCATTATCAGCTTGCCCATCCGCTTGCAGGAGACAATTCTTACAACAAAGCACCACCGACCCGCCGCCTTACCACATCCCTACATAAGCTGCAGCTCTTTTGCTCTCCTCACCTGCCAACACCACACAAACACTTGTTCCCCGCACCACACACCTCTCGCAGCTATGGATCAGATCAAGAAGGTGAGTCCACGCATACCCCGCCAAATCCCCTTTCTTTGGTACCCAGTCCACAGCCGACGCCACAATGCACGCCTGTCGTACCAAAGCAGCCGCTGACATGACGTTCTGCACAGCGCATGGAAGCTCTCCGCGTCGAGGCGGATGAGAGCAGCGCCAAAGCCGAGGAGTACAAGGCCAAGATCAAGCAGCTCGAGTCGGAGACGACACAGAAGGAGCAGGAGATCACGTCGCTGACGCACAAGAACTCCGTTCTCGAGAGCGAGGTGGAGAAGCTTGAGGGGCAAGTCAAGGTCCACAAGGACGAAGCTGGTGCAGGTGCTCAGGCCGGCACCCAGGCCGAGAGCCTCCAGCGCAAGATCCAAGTTCTCGAGGAAGAAGCTGAGGAATCGGACAGGACTATCCGCGAGCTCAACGAGAAGTACGTTCATTCACCCTCTGATGCCGTTGCTGTTCCCCTCCCCTATCTACCTTCCACGCTTCCGGCCCCTGATCTGCAGCCACTGACACGTCACCCTCCAGGCTCCGCCAAACCGATGTCAAGTCCGGCCACTACGAACGCAAAGTCCAAGCCCTCGAGCAGTCCCGCGACCAGTGGGAAACCAAGTACGAAGAGATGGCCAAGAAATACGCCGACACCAAGAAGGAGCTCGACGACTTTGTCAAGGAGATCGGTAACATCTGATCTCGCTGTCGTCTCTCTTTTGCGGTTGTTGACTGTATCTAGTCGAGTTCTGAGTCGAGCTTCGATATCGTCCCTCTGCGGATGCCGATTTCGAGCGCGTGCGACAAGAGGGACGGTCCGTGGTGGCTAGTGGCGGAGGATGATTACTACGGCATGCAGTGGAGCTTGGAGAAGAGGCAGATTTCACATTACATTCCCCCGTACCCCCTACCCTACCCTAAACCCCTATATATCTGTTTCCTTCCTGCGGCTGCTTGCTGGGCGGGCCTTCGCTTTAGATAATCCCTGAGCGAATACATTGTTGGCGGTTCCTGACACAGCTTTGTCTTTGGTACTCACATGTGCTTTGCCAGGTTTGACCAAGGAGCGGTGTACGACCCACTGGAGTTATGCAGTGGAATAATGCTAGACTTGTGCAGAACACGACCAGAGCAGCGCACCAACATGCGGGGTTCTGCTTGACATCGTGAAGGGGTATCATTGTCTTGCCGTGTATAGTCACTAGCTTTCTTTCCAACAAGCAACACTTCTACCCGTCTACTTGTTCTCCCTAGCCTCCTTCTGCTTCCTCTTCTTCATGCCCTGCTTCATGCGCTCCGCCTTTCTCTCCGTCTTGGTCTCGTACCTAAACTTCTTCTTCTTCTTCTTTGGCCTCTCGCTATTCTTCGGCCACGCCTTTGTCCACACCCGCTTCTTGTTCTCTTCCTCCGCCTTTTTCCTCTCCTCGTCTGCTTTCCTCTTTGCGGCTGCCTCTTCGTCCTCTTGTCCCTGTGTTGAAAACCCGGCTTTGGATATGCCCACGCTTTCTATCGTGACGGTTGTGTATTTGTCTTCGTCGATGTATTCGTCTTCCTGGTTTATAGGCTCTGGTTCTTGGAAGCCTGTGAATTCTTCTTCTTCGTCGTCGTCGTCGTCATCATTGGCGGATGTTTCGCCTGCTTCGCTGAGGTCGAGGTCGCCGTTGGCTTGTTTGACAAGTCGGTTTACTTCTTCGACGTGTCTCTCCAGGTCGACTTTGCGCTGTTCTCGGAGCTAAATTGTAGGGTATCGTTAGCCGCTGTGCCTGTCTGGATACAACCCAGAGATGCGCCGGTGACATAAGACGAACGTCCTTGTCGCGCAACCTCAGAGATGGGACGTCGCAATCGTGTGCTTACCTCGCGCCTAAACCTCAGCTTCTCCTCCTTCTCCCTCTTCGCGTTCTCCTCCTGTGCATGCTTTATCCGCGCAAGTTTGCGCTTGTGGAACCCGGTGAGGTATTCTTCGCGCGCCGAAAAGTCAAACTCGATCTTTTCGGGGACTGCGACGGCGATTTTGCGCTTCTTCGATGGCGGCGGCGCGTTCCTCATGACTGCAGCCTGTGTTGAGTGCAATCTGGAATGTGGGGCTCGGCGTGATTTGGCTCGTTGCTGTCGCTAGATGTTCGCAGAGAATGGTGTCGGAGTTTGGGAAAATTACCTGGCTGACAGGGATCTGGGAGTCCAGGTGGGGCCGAGGTCTTTTGGCGCTACGCCGTCTGGGGACTACCATGAACCCTGGAAGGCAGCCCTGGAGGATCGTGATGTGATTACAGTCTAATTGCATTCCGATCAATTGAGATTTATTGTTCTAGAATCATGATGACTGGGAACGTCCTTCGCAGCCTTAAACAGTGATGCGCGCTGGGTATGGCGACTCCCATGTGTCTATGCATCTATCTGCGTTCTTTCACCAGCCAGGCCAATGCTTTCTTGTGAGGGACGATTTGCACCATTGGGTTCTTTGTCTAGTCCTAGAATCTTCCTCCGCCACGAAAGTGATTCTAGGTGCTTCTTCGCCTTGTGCGTGATACACAGAGCCGGGTCAACGTCCTGAAGGCCAGTCTCTCCAAACATGGCAAGAACCATGAGGCCTAGGAAAGAATGATACATGTCGGGTGGGTCTCCTGTGACTTTGCCGAACCCTCCCACGAGATGTTGCGTCTTATCTAGTAACCACTTCCGGATCGGTTGCCGGTCGACAATATCTAGATGACCGAGGAGTTGTAAGGGCGTGCAGGTCCAGTAAGCATAGCATGTATCTGCTACCTTGTTACATCGACCATTCACTCCAACCCACTCGAGTTCGAAGTGAATGTGAGGCCGTCCTTTTGTGTTGGTTTTTGCCTGTACTGATGGGTAGGCGCCCAGCTTGACAAACGTATGCGCGTCATGGCAGGTTTCTGACGTATCTGTCTCGTCATTCATAGTATCCAAGCCGTCGTCCTCGTCTAGAGTCAGCGTCTGCCGTGAGACGAGCCAGTGCAGCGTCTTTGGGACGTCGGTTACTCCGCGAATGACACCGTCCGGTTTTTGTGATGGAGGTAAGGGTAGACGACCCAAGAAAGCCAGGGCAGCGATGGCGCAGCAGGTGAAGCCTGCATGCGCTTCATGGTAGGGCGATTCCGAGATGCCTCCGTCGTAGCACTCTGCTTGTTGGACACACGTGACGAAGTTGTCAACATCGATATCTGGAATACCCTCACACGGTCCCTCGAGGTTGCCTCGAAGTATCCATCTGATAGCTGTAGCCATGTAGCCGAATCTTGAGTCGTTGCCGCCATGGACATCATCGCCATGGCCCAAAGTCTCTCCAAAGCTACCCTCGGGTCTCTGCATCTTGACCAGCCATGTCAAGATCTCCTTTCTCTTGACCCTCTCCAGATCATCCCCCAGCACGACCAGCGTCAGGAGGGCAAAGAAAGTTCCAGGAACATGGGCAGGGTCCCAGTTCTTGTTTTCTTCACTTCTGAGCTCGCCATAGTTGGACCCTGGCCACGGGCGAAAGCCACCTTCAGGCAGTTGGCAGCTGTAGACCCATTCGATGTGCCCGTGGCGCTCCTCGGCTGACAAAGCAGCGTCTAAATCTCCCAGAATATCGAGAGCGGACACGGTGAAAAGGGCCAATAGCATGCGGTTGGAGTCATTGCTGGTGTAGAAGTGCGGCAGCAGAGTCTTCAGGTTCCGCCGCCAGTACTTGATGTGGCGGGCATAGTTGAGTTGTGTGTTGGCATCAAAGGCAGCTGGAGCCATGATAGGGAAAAGAGGTGCGTGGACCCGGGGGCGTTTGCCGAGCGAGATCTCGGTCCCGCTGCGAGGCGTGAGTTTTGATGGCGGGGCTGACCTGGACGGCCAAGGCGAATGTTTGCGCAGAGTATGTAAGACGGATGAATGATTAGCGGAGACTTGACCTTCTCCTGAATGGGCCTGTAATAAGGCTTATTCCGCGTGCAGGGTTAGTCAGGCAGTGATGACGGAGCCCCGCAGACGTCGCGTCTGTCAGTGTTCGGAGCAGTAACTTGTCGATTTAGGGGACCTGGCAGGGCGACAGCATTAGCCCAGCGACTGGCGATGATGCATAGACGGTAGTAGGCGCGGGCTCGGACTAGTCTACCACACCGTATGCAGGGGCCGCGCTTGGGGGTCGGTGAATTGCGTGGGTATTTATATCGTCCGCTAAAGGCGAAATGTCGGAAGCGCGCAAGATTGGTAGGCTTGCCTGACGGTGCCAGGGCTGTCACGACAAACGGCCACATGCAGGGGTACATGAGACATCGTTCAGCTCTCAGCTCTTCTGCAGTCGTGCCCCAGCTGCGGCCTGCAAAACCCTCCTGACACCGACGTGCCTCAGTCAGTCACTGCCCTCGCTTCCCCGACGCCGCCGCCGCCGCCCGTGTCGAGTACCACTGCGCTGCGCCCACTCACGACGCACTGCCCGTTACGCGAGTAGCCTCTTTGTAGGGCGACGTCACCCACGCTCGAGCACCGGGCCTGCGCTTGCGTGTTCCCCAGACTCACTTCTCCGCGCGCTCACTACGGCCGTTGACCGACCACACCCGTACACGTACCCAACTTGGTTGTTTCTTTTTGATACCCCACTTCACACGCCGCCATGACGACGGGCTTTGCGGCCTCTTTTTGGTCGAGCGACTATGCCGGAGGTAAGCTGCAGGCGCACCCAACACCACCCCGCGCGGGCTAACTCTCGCAGGCTTGGGCGTCCTCTTTGGCAAGCTGCAGCAGGGCGTGCAGGAAAACCAGCAGATTCTGACCGTGGCCCGCATGCGAGCCGATGCCGAGGAGGCCTACGGAAACAGCCTGTCCTCGATTACACCAGCCACAGATCGCATAGGCGGGGGCTTTAGCAGAGATGAGGGCGCAAGCGTGCGCAAGGTGCGTGAGCAGGAGACACGGCGACAACCCCAGGCTAACTGGTACTAGGCCTACGAGGGCGTGCGCACCGAGATGGAGGCAGCGGCCGCAAACCACAAGAAGATTGCGTCCAACATCCGCGAGCTTGTCGTGAACCCGTTCGGTCGCTGGTGCGAAGCGCATGCCGCCCGCGTGCAGAACTCCCAGGACGACCTCCAATCGCGCATCAAGATCCACGACCGACAGGCCGATGCTGTCCGCAAGTACCGATCGCAATACTACAACAAGTGCCGGCTCGTCGAAGACCTGGAGGAGGAGGACAAGCTTGCTTTCCAGGACCCCCAGAGCGAGGCCGCACAGAGCCCCAAGATGAAGGTGCCCACCATAAAGATGTCGGAGCCGGAGAATGAGGAAGAGGAGCCCATTGATCTTGGTGACGAGACGTACCAGCCCGACCAGATCAAGAAGATCCTCACGCACATGCTGGACAACATCAAGATTGCAGAGGTCAAGGTTCCCATTCTCGGCACCTACCAGAACTGCTCAAGCGGTGCCGATATCACCGAATACATCCAGAAGCACATGGCAGCAACCACCGTGAGCTATGCCGAGCGCATTGGTCAAGACCTGGTAGCACACGGCTTTCTGCGCCTAGTGGGAAACGTGGGAAACACATTCGCCAACAGCTCCCGCATGAACTACCAATGGAAGCCCAAGACGTTCCAGGTGACCGGACTGCCTGAGAAGAAGCAGCCTCTCGCCCGCTCTTCTACCGCTATGTCTAGCTCCTCAGCCGACAGCATTGCCGTGGACTCGCCCGTCTCGACCGTGCAGGAATACCTCCAGGGATGGAACCCGCTCAACAACCAGTACCCGAATGAGACACCAGCAGAGAGGCTCAGGCGGGAGGCACACGAGTCCGATGAGCGCTACAAGGCATCAGTCAAGAAGCTTGACTCGCTACGATGCAATCTGGAAGAGGCTATGGTGGACCATCTCAAATTCATGGAGCGTTGCGAATTGGACAGGTTGAAGGCTATCAAGGCAGTTATCTTGGATTTCTCTGGCGCTGTCAGCAACGTAATTCCCAGTCTGCAGAGCACCGTCGACAAGATGATGCTGTTCCAGGAGACAGTTCAGCCCCTAGGCGATCTCCGATACATGCTCGAGAACTACAGGACAGGGCCATTCGTGCCTAGAGTCACGACTTATGAGAATTACTACAACTCAGTAGACGGTACGTCACGATGTATATCGAGATGCAACTATATACTAACATAGACAGAACAAACATTCGGTGTAGATTTGGAGGCTCGGGCTCGCTCAGACAAGAAGCGTGTTCCGGTACTCATTACGACAGTTCTCACCTTCCTAGACAACCACTACCCCGACTTGGAGGGTGACGAAGCACGTCGTGGCATCTGGCTCGTTGATGTTCCTCTGGCGCAGACTCACACCCTCCGAGCTGAGATCAACACTGGAAAGAGGTTCCCAGATGAACTACTCGAGAAGTACGATGTACCGATTGTTGCGAGCGTCCTCAAACTGTACCTGTTGGAACTTCCTGGTAGGTGTCCACTCTGCATCATCAGATCCTTTGCTAATCGTAACAGACTCACTGGTTTCTTCTCACGTCTACGAGATTGTCAAGACCATCTACAGCACCACCGCTACAGATGTCTCCGAAGAGACTCGGGTCTCTGTTCTGCAATCTACCCTTGGCCAACTCCGCCTCGCTAACATCGCAACGCTCGACGCGATCTGCACACACTTCACTCGTCTCATTGAGTTGACATCGGCCGACGAGACTTATGTTACAGCACTGGCCAATGCACTCGCACCATGCATCCTGAGGCCAAGACAAGAATCGAGTTTGACGATGAACGAGCGCTACAGCTACCGCCTCGTCCGTGACCTTTTTGCGCACAAGGATGCCATTTTTGGAGAGTTGAAGCGCGCGAGCACGCTCACCCACTCAGCCTCGGGCGCACAGCGCCCACGCGCGATCTCGACGGATGAGAGCAACCGGCGAGCAAACATGGAAGAGCGCCAACGAGCCATTGCAGCTCAACGCTCTCCTCGTGCGGTATCACCAGCACCTGGATCACGTGTCTCTGGCTCGCATCGCCGTGACCGAAGTCAGACTCGATTCCCCGTGAACACATCGTCACCAACCGAAACGCGAAGGAGCAAGGGAGATCGTGGTTCTCTTGAAGTACCTGGAAGCGACGACAGTCCTACCAACGAAGAAGTCACTGCAACCACTAATGGTACAACAGAGCCTGCAACTGTTTCTGTTCCTGTTCCTGCTCCCGCCGAGCACCCAGCGCCATCAAGTACCCGGGTGCCTTTCCCACGGAAACACGCAGGCAGCTTGACGAGGGGCAATCGGGACTCTACCGGCAGCTTGAGGAGTGACGACACAGCAGCGCCAAGAGGTGTCACACTGGAAGACAAGCCCATGGACGACTAGTGGTAAACATGGCCTAACTTCAGCAAGCACCTTGGTTAGGAAGTGAAATAGGAAGCCTACACCGCCCGGCCCGCCCAGAGACTCCCATGTATACTAGAAAGTAACACACCGGGAAACTAGCTAGGGACCCTGAGAGCGAGGTAGCATGCCGGGCAGTCGCACAGCACCTGTGGAAGAGTGAACAGCGTATGTGAAGGCTGTATGATATTTCGGGACGGGAAAAGTGGCGGCATGTCTGATGGTCGTATGTGAAATGCAGCATGATAATCACGAGTGTAGACGGCTATTGCAATATGAAGTTTATCTACTCTGCCCTGCTTGTTGACATTGGCGGCTCCGTCCGTACCTGAGGCTAACCAGGGTGACCAGGACGCTAGTACTACTCAGCTGTCAGAAAAGCCCAGACCCCATCGTCACACTCGCATGCTGAGTTCCAAGGCGGAGCAGCATGGAATCGACATGGGGGTCAGCTGTGTGGCTGGGCACCGGCTGCCCGATCTGTAGGACATATACATAGCCTCTGGTGACCTTTTCATGTGCCGCTCATTCTGCGCCTGTCTACCCATCTTCTCCAGCTCTCGTTGCGCTCGCTGAGCCTCTCACTCAGTCGTGGTGCGCCCCGTCCCGCCCTCGATCGAACCCCACGTTGATCGTCGCGCGAATCACATCGCGATCGCAGTCGCAGCTTCCCACTTTTTGAGGCCTCGCTGTCACTGCATACCCTGCCGAGGGTGAAAGCGCCATGTGTCTGGTCAAAGTCAAGCCGGAAGAGGACCACATCGTCCCTTACCGCGTCGTCCAGCGGAACCGCTCCCCGCCCCGTCGCCGCGCATCACGCCAGTCGCGCGACATCGAGCGCCGCTATTCGCGCACCGAGATTGTGCACGAGGCTTCTCCACGGCCCTCCGCATCCTACGTCGCGGTGCCCTCGCCAAAGCCTCTCCAGATTCCCGCACCGCAGCCTGTGCCTGTGTTCGTGCAGCCTCCTCCCCCGGCGCCCATGCCGGCTCCACCTCCACCGCCTAGCCACATCTCTTCTCACCATTCCTACCACACCCAGTCACGCCATGGCGGTGCACACTACGTCGAAGTCTCACCCAGGTCTAGCATGAGTTCTCGTTCATCGAGCCCTAGCCGCAGCGAGTATGTGTATACAGAGCGAGAGGTCAGGCGTGAGCGCGAACGCAACTACAGTCCAGAGAACCCTCGCTACGAGCATTACAGATACGTGGAGCCTCAATCGAGCGAGAGCGACCATTATGAAAGATACCAGAGGCGCGACAGGAGCAGACAGCGCAGTCGCAGTCGGGGCGGCTATGAAGACCCCAGGGGCAGCTACACGGAAACTAACACCAGAGTTGCGTACAGGCAGAGATGAGTGTCTGTTTGGGAACCACGTTTTTGTTGGCTTACGATTGATATCACTACTTATGTCTTGAAGGACTTGCAGCATCTGTTCATAGTTATGGTGCGGTTGTCTATAGCTTTTTTTCCAAACTAATCTACTTTCATGTTCAACTGCTCGTGCTATGAGGTCACTAGTTGGTTATGTTGCACCTGGACGCGATGCACGAACCAGCAAAGACGTCGCGCCGCACTTTCCGAGACGGAGAGAATCAGCTCCACATGTTTCTCAGCCCAAGTGTCGAGTTCTGGCTGCCGGCGTACGCCTAAGCGATGGCCAGGACAGCCTTGTAAAGCATCGGGCACCAGTCGAGTGGTGTACATCTAGGGTTGCGATCAGCATCCAGGCCAACATAATCCTGCGCGCTGAGAGCAACCGCCAAAGCACACGTGCTTACTTGCCGCGACCGTCATACTTGCGCAAACGCTTTGACTGCCTTGACGTGTAGCAGAACCCCGAGCATGATCGAAGCACCCGCGCATTCCTCCTCCGCCCCCGTCCACCTCCGACCATGTCTATCCGTGTCCTGATCAAAGATTACCCACACCGCGCGATCGCCCTCGCGACCTCGACCCACGCCCTCGTCCTCCGACACAGCTCGTCCACCACCGAACAGTCGGGGAACCCCAATGCCTCGTCCACGTCACTGGGGAGCAATGGCGCCGGCGTCGCGCGCTGCATGGTCGAGTTCACCCGGCTGGAGGAAATCGATCTAGAAGACTACCGCGCGCTGCATTCGGTCAACGTACACGGCACACTGGGCTTGATCACCGTCAACAGCGATGTCTTCCTCGTCGTCGTCAATGGCGCGAGCAAGGTGGCGACAGTACGGCCTGGCGAGACGGTGCAGAGGATATACTCGGTCGGCTTCTACTGTCTAACCAGCACAAGCTACGATACCCTGCTCAACGACGAAGTCAACCCCTACCCCACGGATACAATCGATGACGAAGGATATGAGATGGGCTTCGGTGGCAGGAAGGAGCAATCTCCCATGGAACACCCGTGTCTGGCGCTCAAGAAGATACTCAGCAGTGGAACCTTCTATTACAGCTCAGACTTCGACCTCACCAGACGCTTACAAGACCGCACAACCGATGCCGCAACCGTTTCTATCGACAGTCTAGACGCTGGCTTTCTATGGAACTCATACATGATCCAGCCACTGGTAGACTTTAGAAGCCGCCTTGCGCCGAGAGAGAAGGACGCTTTGGATGCTTCGGGGATCCTGACATCTGCCATCCGCGGTTTCGCACTTACCATTACGATTCCCAAGTCTTCGGCCCCCATCAGGGTACAGGATTCAGGCATGCCGTCGTCCATGACGCTCATCTCAAGATTATCCTGCAAGCGGGCGGGCACAAGGTTCAACTCGCGAGGCATCGATGATGATGGGAATGTCGCAAACTTTGTGGAAAGCGAAACAATATACTGGGCGCCGTCGGGAGCTTGCTTCTCTTATGTGCAGGTGCGAGGAAGTGTCCCCATCTTCTGGGAACAGCAGGCTGGTCTCCTCCCAAACCAACAAAAGATTACCATCACCCGGTCGCCGGAAGCTACACAGCCCGCCTTTGACAGGCACTTTGATAATCTGGAACTCAGCTATGGCACAACTCATGTTGTAAACCTGCTGAGCAACGAAAAACAAAACGAGTTAGAGTTGACGCATAGATATCGTGGGCACATCAGGAATAGCCCGTTGAATCAAGGAAGCAACCTCAACGACCGGCAGCATGATCTCATCAAGCTTACGGAATATGACTTTCATGCCGAGACGCGAGGACCCGGTGGCTATGAGATGGCTAGCATGATTGCTCAGTGGATCCAAGGTTCTGCCGAAGGATTCGGGTACTATCTCTCTGAAGATGTGGAAGAGGTGGCCAGACACAATGGGGAAGACTACGCTGTCCGTCGGACAATGAGCATACTACAGCAGGAGGGTGTTTTCCGAACCAACTGCTTGGATTGTCTTGATCGAACGAATCTCGTGCAAACCATCATCAGCAAGATGGCGCTGGAAATCTTCTTGAGCCACAAAGGTCTTCGAGCCAGTCAGGACTTCTGGGTCAGACATTCAAGTATGTGGGCAGACAATGGCGATGCTCTTTCAAAGATCTATGCGGGAACTGGAGCGCTGAAGTCCTCATTTACTCGATCTGGAAAGATGTCGCTTGCCGGTGCTCTGGCAGACGCTCGTAAGAGCGCCACCCGAATGTACATTAACAATTTTGCGGATAAAGGGCGACAGAACACCATCGACATGCTCCTTGGGAGACTGATTGGCCAGGTTCCAGTGCATCTATATGACCCGCTTAACGACTATGTGGTCGCAGAGCTTGCGCGACGATCTGCGGAGTATTCAGAGACCGAGATGATCAATATCCTTGTCGGCACATTCAACCTGAACGGAAAGACGAGTGGCATCAAGAGCGATCTTTCGCCCTGGCTATGCCCAGATGTCGATCCTTCACAGCAGTGCCCAGAGATAGTAGCTGTAGGCTTTCAAGAGATTGTCGAATTAAGCCCTCAACAAATCATGTCGACAGACCCAGACAGACGCGAGGCTTGGGAGGAAGCTGTCAGAACGTGTCTGAACAAGAATGCCGAAAAGCACAGAAAAGACGAGTATGTTATTCTAAGAGGCGGCCAGTTGGTGGGCGCGAGTTTATCGGTCTTTGTCCGGGCCGACTGCCTCACGCATATCAAGAACGTTGAAGGCGCTTTAAAGAAGGTATGTCCACATTTACTCCATCTTACGTATTGCACTAAAACATACTCCAGACTGGCATGTCGGGTATGGCTGGCAACAAAGGAGCAGTAGCCATCCGGTTTGAGTACGCCAATACCTCAATCTGCCTTGTCACGGCCCATCTCGCAGCTGGTTTTGCCAACTACGAAGAGCGCAACCGCGACTATAAGACTATCAGCCATGGTCTACGCTTTCAAAGGAACCGATCAATTGAAGACCATGACACTGTGATATGGCTTGGCGACTTCAACTACCGAATTGGCCTGAACAATGAGAAGGTGCAACGGCTGTGTCACGTTGGTGACCTCGAGACTTTGTACGACAACGACCAGGTAAATAATCGTGTTCTGCTTGTATAGACCATAGCTAACGAAAAGCAGCTAAACCTCCAGATGGTAGCTGGTTTGACCTTTCCGTACTACTCCGAGGCCCGCATAACTTTCCCACCGACGTACAAGTACGATCTCAACAGTAATCAATACGATACGTCTGAGAAAGCACGCATTCCTGCCTGGTGTGACCGTGTACTTCGCAAGGGTGACAATATCCGACAAATCCACTACAACGATGCACCACTTCGCTTCTCCGACCACCGGCCGGTCTATGCAACGTTCCAAATACTGGTGCAAAGGGTTGATGAAAAGAGGAAAGATGCCATGAAGGCTACTTTGTACAAACAACGAAGAGAGGTGGTTGGCGATACCCACGCGGCGGGCCGTCTGGGTGATGATGAAACTGACGACGAAGATCTGCTTGGGTACGACAGCATTGAGCCAGGATTGCCGCCTGCAAGCTCAGATCGGAGGAAGTGGTGGCTCGACAACGGTACTTCCATTATCTTTCCCGCTATAGCTTGGATACTCATATTCAATAGGTTTACCGGCGAAAGCACGCGTGGAACCGCCATCTAACAACCACTTTCCAAACCCGAATCGACCAAGCAATCCGTTTACGCCTAGTCCAGAGCCAGACTGGATAGATGTTAGGCATATGCCGAGCAGTCGCAGACCCGAGCCACCACCAGCACGCGGTTCACAAAGAGCACGCACAGTCGACTTCAATGGCCCCTCCACCAATTTACCACCAACGCAGAAGCCCGCGGCTCGTAAGATGATTGCTCCGTTATATCCAGGACATGCCACTCAAATTCTTGGTTCAGACGGTGCACGAGACTCGCTCAGCGACCTCCGCCGTAGTGGCTCAAGCGCGTCCACACACTCCCTTCCCAGCAACCTACCTTACCGCGCATCAAATACGCTCCCCCAAACACAATCCTCCAGTAAACCACAAGTCCTTCGCAAACCAGCCCCACCACCAATCCCAAACAAGAAACCCTCTCTCCTCTCCAAGGGTTCCTCTCCAGGACCAACCTTCGCACTCCCTCCACAACGTTACCGCGATGATCCCCCGGAAGAAGAATCGAGGGCATATCCTCCGCAGTCAGCCAGACGCTCAATGGCTCCGCCTCCTAATATGACGAGGAAACCAGTGCAGAATCTGATTGATGATGACGGTGATAAGCCGGCATTGCCGCCGCGCACAGGAAGTGGTGGGAGTAGTAGGAGGAATTTGATGGATGATGAGCCGGACGATATGCGCAATATGGGGGATTGGGAGGTGCTTAGACCTGTAAGGTAAAGTAGGCTTAGCGAACGCGGATGTAGAGAGACTTGGATTGATGGTTCTGTCTTTCAATACTATTCGTACAGCACCGGATGATCCTCAAATCCATGTGTCCATTCTGACGCCTTAGAACTCTAAGAAAGTACTTAGGTAGAATACGAGCGTCAAATAAGATCGCATTGCTTAACTTGACCTGTTCATAATATGATGATGCTTCGATATAGTATAAATTGAACCTGCTGCATAACTGTACGCGGGTTGTGACAGGGATTCCAGAGTTGATGCGACTCCCTGTTTAAGTCACGCGCCGACGCGTGCAGTCGCGTCGGCGCTAACCCCATTAACACACCTCACGAGCTCCACTCACACACCACAAGCATCAAACAACGCGACTGCGCATGCAATGCATGCGCCTATAACGACATGAAGAGAAAACGCAGCGCCCATAGCGGTACGGGCATCCGTAAGAAAGCAAAGGGCGCCGGTGACCAATCCACTAAGGCCACTACTGTCAATGCTACTCATCCAGTCCTACAACGCCTCTATCCCGAAGTCCTTACTCTGCGCCAGTATCTACTCTCTCGGCTCCCAAGCTCGTCAAAGAACAGGTACCGAAAGCTTTCGCAACTTGGACATGCAATACCCGCTGGAGACAAAAGCACCACGGATGGCCTTGACAATGCCGTTGTGCAGTTGCTCGACTCAGCATTAGTATGCACCTCAGGCGTCCAACCAGAAAAGGACAAAACGACGAGTTTCACCGAGGAGCGTGAAAAGGATATCGAAGCGTTCACCCAACAACGATCGCAGAGCACTCCGGGCGGCACGTTCAAGCCGGGATACTACAGGCAATCCGAAGTAGGTCATACGACGCATCGCCTGCTCATAGTGTTCCGCTCAAAGAACTCGACTAAATATACCCAGATTGTTGACTTCGTGATATGGCGCTTGTTCAAACGTTCAACATCTCACAAACCAGCACATCTACTCTGCTATGGCTTTCAAAGATCTGCAGGCAGCAATCGCCGTGCACACAGGAACAGCGAGGATCCGAGTTCATCTATTCCTGGTCTGCAAGAACGTCTCCCTAATAGCTACGCGAGGACTTTGAAAGAGCCAGTCTGGTGTCGATTGCACGCATTGCTCGGCCAGGGCGGAGACCGCATTATCATGGACATGCTTCTAGAGTGCTCCATATTCATCTTGGTCAGTGCTGATATGGGCAACTACTACCAGCTCTCTGGGGTTCCTGTGCATGAGGTGAAATCGGATGAACATCAGAAGAGCAACATCGCAAGAGTCAACGCGGATAAGGAAGCGCCCATCAAACCTTCACAACTCAAGATTGAAAGCAAAAAGCCTGGTGCTATTACATTTGTGCGCAGTCGCATGCTTTATGCGAAAGCAGCGCTCAATGCGAAAGGTGGTGTGAGATTTGGCATGCGCCATATTCGTGCGTTGTCACTGTTCTTCGAGTGCTTTATTGGGGCTAACCATTCATAGATGTTCTCAATCGGTTCACTGATCGGAAAGACAAGCAAGAGACAGTACATGTCATGCGGTATATCTTCCCACGTCAGTTCGGGTTGCACAACGTCTTCACCTCCAAGGTGGATCATCGTGAGACAGCCATGCCGTTCAAAGACTACACGCTGCGCGAGAAGGATATACATACCGCCATGTGCCGGGAACTGGGACCCAAAGCGACAGACGCCCAGGAAATAGCTAAGTGGAAGCAGCGAATACCCAAGAGACTCCGGGGTGACGCTGTTAAACTGGTGGACAAACTTCGGGTCCGCAACCAGCGGTGCTCGTATATGGAGATGCTGCGCCACTACTGTCCAATCGAGGTACTCTTCTCCATGACATGTATAGGAAGTCTGCTGACTCATATAGGGGGTACCCGTGTCAACGAAACCAGATTGGAGGAAAAGCGCACTCCAGCCGAAGGCAGATGTACGATCAATCGCAGATCCACTCAATCGTCGCACGAAAACGCGGCCTACTCCTGGAAATCCCACCGTTCAAGAAACCTGTTTCACAGATCTGGCGTGTCCAGCAGCACACGTATCGGCCTTTTGTCGCGCAGTCATATCCAAGGTTATACCAGAAAGATTCTGGGGCAACGAGCATAACCATCGCACCCTCATGTATTGGGTGGACCAGTTCGTCGACATGCGTAGATTCGAATCGCTCAATCTACATCAGGTTACACAGAACATACAGGTACGTATTCCCCTACATTGAGCATGGAGCTATGCTAAGGGATCCTAGATCACGAACATAGCCTGGTTACGCCCACCCAGCCAAGACGACGACACAAAGGTGTCCAAGTCGGACATAGATAAACGTACGGAGATATTTCTCGAATTCGTCTACTGGCTCTTCGACTCTTTCCTCGTTCCTCTGGTCCGCACAAACTTCCACGTAACGGAGTCCAACGCGCATCGGAACAGACTATTCTATTTCCGCCATGATATTTGGCGGATGTTAACAGAGCCCGCTTTGAAGGAACTACGGATGAACATGTTCGAGGAGATGCCTACTGAAAGCACGGAAAGACTGCTGTCCGCACGCCAGCTCGGCTTCAGTAATATCCGTCTCCTTCCGAAGAAACAGGGCTTCCGGACTATCATGAACCTCAAGAGAAGACAGCAGGTGATGCGATATGGGACTATGACTCTCGGACGAAGTATCAATTCAGTGATGACTCCAGCTTTCAACGCGATTACCTACGAGAAGGTCAGTGGCCGCTTGCGTTGACGGATTTACTATGGCTAATTTGAGGCAGTCGTTGCGTCCCGATAAATTCGGCTGCTCACTTTTCTCCGTCGGGGATATGCTTCCCAAGCTTGCATCTTTCAAAGCATCGTTGCGACAGCGGGGACTCGGCGACATTCGGCTTTATTTTGCTAAGGTTGATGTTCAGGCTTGCTTCGACACTATACCACAGTCACGCTTGCTGCGTATGATCGACAGTCTCATGTCGATCCAGGCTTACAACACCGGCAAACATGTGGAGATTTTCCCCCTGGGTCCTCTACAGCGTCTCGGCGGTAAACATGTGGACCCAATGCCTCTCAAGAAGTACATACCGCATACTGAGGCAGCGACGAGTGTAACGCCTTTCCACCAACTTGTGCAAGATAGATTGGCGGGCACAAAGGCCAATACCGTCTTTGTTAATACCAACATGCAGCGGCGCGAGACCAAGGACGACTTGATGCAGCTCTTACAGGAGCATATCGAGAGGAATGTCGTTAAAATGGGGAAGCGCTTCTATCGCCAGAAGACTGGTATACCACAGGGCTCAGTTTTATCGAGCATCTTGTGCAACTTCTTCTACGCTCAACTGGAACGCGATGTACTTGGATTTGTGCTTGATGAAGATTCATTGCTTCTTCGTCTGCTCGACGATTTCCTCTTGATCAGTATCAACGAAGAGTATGCTCAGCGCTTCGTACGCGTTATGCACAAAGGCCACCCGGAATACGGCGTGGTGATCAAGCCTTCAAAGTCGATGGCAAACTTCGATGTCACGACAGAAGAAGGAGACCGGATAGCGACAAGCGGCTCAGATGGTAAATTCCCGTATTGCGGCGTCTGTATCGATACGACGACGCTGGAAGTCAGCAAGAAAACGGAACGCCTTACAAAGGCCGGTAGGTGGCATTGCGCGCACAATGTCTATTTACGGCTTCAGATGCTAACCGTACCAGGTGTTGAGGACTCTTTGACTGTAGATCTGACCAAAATGCCTGGCCAAACGTTCCATCGCAAAGCTCTGAAGTAAGTCTCGAAGATCGCGGTATGCACCGTCGGTCAATCGGGCCATAGACGGGGTGAAAAGTCCGACAATTTACTGATTTCTGATAGCGGATTCAAGATCCAGCTGAAGGCCATGCTGATCGATCCATCGTTGAACAGCGTGGCAACGGTACTAGCGAATTTGCATCAAAGCTTTCTTGAAGCGGCGGTGAGGTGCCTCGAGTACGCACGCGCGCTATCCAAGGTGCGAACGACGTGTTCGAAGCTGCTTATCAGTACGTCTAAACTTTCCCGTTGCGAATATTCCAACGCCCAATCCATCGATGCTCGTGCGGGGTTGTCCCGTGGGAGGGTGGGCGTGGTAATGAATGATGGTCTGATAGCACGAAAGCGAGCACGGCACACGCCACGAGCGATCGTGATTGCGCCGGCTACGCTAGCGAAGGAAATTGCTGACGGAGGGAACTGCAGAGACGGTAGACAACATGATTGCACTAGCCCATGTGATGCTACAGCGCCGTTCACGCTCGCGCGGCAGCAGAGAGGCAAAGATTGTGCAGGGCGTCATCTCGCGGCGGCAGCTTCAATGGTACGTGTGGCTAAGCTTCCGTGTTGCACAGAAAGTGGATGCACGATCTGCGATTTGGCTAGATCGCCTCCACGGTTTGCAAGATGACATGGCGGGGCTCGTATTACCGGTTTCCAACATATGCTAATTGAAGGGATAGGCTGGCTTGTAAAGCTTTTCAGACGGTGTTTCAGCGCAAGCAGACGCAGCATCGCGCGCTGCTAGCCTGGCTGCAGACATGTCTCTCGGCAGCGCGCATGTCTGACATGGCGGAGCGACGCATGCTGGAGGAGGCAATAACTTGGCACTGAAAGCTTAACACGCTAGCAAAAGCGGGTTCCAGCGATAATGCAGTGGCTAGGCATATAGCGAAGATGTTGGGAGGTGCAGGTGTGGATGCGTGTGTGGTGACGGGATAGGAACTCGGGAAAAGCACTAAGGATCTGTGGCCGGGGGCCCACGCCGAGCGCCCACGTCTAGCGGCGGCATGTGGGCACGACTGCAAGCCTTGGGCCTTGGCTGCAGCGCTGTCGGGAGTGACGGAAGGACTGCAGAGAGGATGATGTCGTTATGTCTTTTTCTTGCATATTGCAGCGCTGGTAGTACTGAGGCAAGGCGCGGTAGTGTATAGGCGGACCACTACTTGCTCCTGATAAGCCTCGCGTCGAGCAGGCGACAGCGCTCGACGGCACGCGATTGGCCCGCCGACGCTGGTATCGTGATGTCAAGCGTAGATGCGACGGCTGGGACACCAACCCCATCCCAAAGAAGCCGGGGTCGACTATGCAGGCTCTCAGCAGAGGGACAGCGTCGCAAAACGCCTGGCTAGGCGCATTGAACCGGGGTCGGGCTGGAGAAGCATACCTGCCTCAGTCGGCGCCGTATTGGTTTTGCGGTTTCAAGCACGATTGCATCTCACATATCGCCAGAACCTCGCCCTCTGCTCCCATGCCCGATCCCATTCCCAACGTAGAACCGACGGCTGCTTGCAATTAAACTCGACCAAGGCATCTTGCGCCGCTGACGGGTCCAGAGCACTGCGAGGCCCACCACTGGAGTCCATCCCTGTCCCCCGACATCAGGGGCTAGCGCGAGTTCCGCAAATTGCGTCGCCGAATCGACCAAGATGCCGGCGGTGCAGCATCACCAGCGACTGCCTCCTGTCTACGAAGCGGGCGATAGCGAAGACTGCGACGCCGACGTGCACTACATCTCGCCCGCCAAGTCGCTGTACATTATTTCCGCGCATAGCTATGTGCCTTCATTAATCAAAGCCCCTTGCGACCGCGACGACAGCTGGGCGAACCACGACCGACTGCCTCACCGCATTGGCACACCACTCCGCATCGACACCCAGCGACGACCGCCCCGACCGCTCATGGCCACCCTCACCTACGCCCACGATGCCCAGCAGACGTTTGGCGCTCCGCCCGGCAGCCCGCCGGACCTCACAAACTCAAAGTCGTCCAAGTCGTCCAGCATCCACTCGTCCACGCTGCTAGACTTCATGGGCACGACGGAGAACCTCTCGCACTTTGAGGACATCAACCTCGACGAAGCATCAGGTGGGCCCTCCTCCTTCCCCGTGCCTGCGAGCCCGTCTAATCGCGTCCTCTTCGAAGCCCCGCGCGCCTCGCTGTCCACCAGGAGCCTCCCGCACTCGCACTCGGCCCACTCCTTCCGCGACCTGACGGGTGCCACCAAGCAAAAGTACCCGAGCCTCAAGGGCCAGGTCAACCACGCCGTCCGCCAGCAGGCCCAGCTCTCCGCCCCCGGCAAGCAGGCCAGAAGAGGCTTCACCTCGCCCTCTGTCCCCTCGCTCTCCAGCCTGAGCCTTGCCGCGCCCCAGCGCTCCTCGCGCTCGCCATCCCCCTCAAACACACACAAGTCTGCTTCTGGACCCCGCACATTATCTCGCAAGAGCTCGCGGAACGATGTCTTGCCGTCCCCGGGCTTGGGCTCCAGGAGGCAGTCGTGGCAGGACTCGAAAAGAAAAACTGTAAAAGAAAGGGAGGCAGAGTGCGACGATGAAGACGACGAGCTCCCTGAAGACGCTGTCATCTGGAATGTTCCCATCTCGCCGCGCCCTACTCAGGATCGGTCGCCGGCGTCATGGGCCGGAGAAAGTCCACCATTAATGTCACCGCATCCTGGCGTCTCTTCGTCTTCGAGGACATCTCCCGCACCTTCTGCGCGCGTCTCCCAGCGGACCCCCTCACCCAACGTTTCTAGCAGGGGCGTGTCTCCCCAACCCGGGGCACAGCAAAACACATGGGCCGAGACGTACACCGCGTTAGATACCGACGCCAAGTTGATCACAGAGAAGCTAGAGGAGTTCCAATCCGAGTTTGAGCGAAAGCAAGAAATCTCACGGCAACAGCCCGGTCTCACGCGTTCAGCGTCTATGAGCCAGCCAGAGCCAAAGAGCAAAAAACCAGCACTCCCGCCTGTTCGCAAGAGCGATCCTCTGATCGACCCTTTCCAGCCGTCAGTTGAGAAGCAGAAGTACCTCTCGCGCACCCGACCTTCGTGGCTCCCACCCAAGAACCCCAAGGAGGAGAAGAAGCACCTCAAGGAGTACCAGCGCATGTTGGCTCGTATCGAGGAAGCCGGTAAGTTTTCTGCGCCTCCCAAGGCTCCAGCTCCATCTGCGACAACAAATGGCTAACAATCGCAGAACGTCTCGAGGCCCAACGCGCCCAAGAGGAAGCCCTGGCCCGTGAAAAGGCCAGCCGCATCAAGGCTGAATACTGGTCGAGCTTACTGCTACCAAACTGGGCCACCGAGATGACCAACTCCGAGTTACGTGCCTCGCACAGGAAGATGTGGTGGAACGGAATCCCCCCACGGTTGCGAGGCCAAGTCTGGCAGAAAGCGATTGGAAACGACCTCGAGGTCACAGAAGCTACCTACAACATTGCCTTGGAGAAAGCACGCAAAGAAGTGAAGACACATGGCCACGAAGCGCTCGGAGGCCGCTATGTCTACATTGTCGAAAGCACCCAAGCAGTATTCCCCGAACTCAAGATGTTTGCCGCACGAACGTCACAAGCGGCGGAGGACGAGCAGCCGCTGCACCGGGACCTTGTCGATGTGTGCCTGGCCTATTCGATGTACCGCCCGGACATCCCACATTCAAGTTTCGACATACATCACATCGCCGCATTGCTCTTATTGAACCTTGCCGCGCCGCAAGCCTTCGTCACCCTGTCCAATCTGCTCAACCGCCCGTTGCCACTGTCCTTCCTCATCCACGACCAAAACGCCATACACGCCGCCTACTCCACAACACTGCACGTTCTGTCGAAGAAAGCGTCCAGTCTGGCTCAACGGCTAGAGACGCTACGAGTTGAACCCAGAGACTACCTCTTCCACACCCTCGGCTCACTTTTCTGCGGTCGTCTAGGCGTTGAGCACGCCGCGCGCATCATGGACATTTACACCATCGAGGGCGACAAGAACGTCCCACGCGCTGCCGTCGCTATACTCAGTATACTGGAAGGCAGCTGCATGGAGGGTGACGCAGCGCAGGTTGCAAAGACACTTCGCGAAAAGAAGGTTGAACTTGATGTGGACGAGTTCATGAACAAGGTGTTTGAAGCGGGCAAGAGCTCGTAGACTAATACCGTCATAGTCTTGGTGGTGGCTTATAGCAGCGGCGGTCAACAGAAAGCATTAATACCGTATTGTACAGTTGAGACAGAAATAATCGACCCATTACAATAATCACCCATGGAAGAGAAAGAGAGAATCAGAAACAAAGGGACACCAGAAGAAAAAGATCGATGATATACGAAGACTCATGCAGCGCGACTTGGAGCTGAACATACACCATTTACCTGTTAATTTCCTAGCCTCTTTGCATACACAACCGGCGTTTTCGATCTTTCTCTTGCGTTCTTTGCATACACGGAGTTTGTCACTTTCTTGTCTCTTTCGAAACCATGGAAAGGCTCGTTTTTGCGCCATACAATCAATCATCTTCCCTTTATCTATCTTTGTATATAACACACGCAATCACTCTTAGACAATTGGGAGGAAGCGAAAACCTGGTAGGTGAGTAGCTGAGCTTAGAATCTATAATCGCACAACAAACATGGTCTCGATCTTTTATTGTTGCATGTGCGAGACTGGTTGATTTGTATTTATGGAAGTGACCCCTCCTTTCACATGTCGAGCCTAATGGCGGGGCAAAGTTTGTGTTAGTGGTAACGGTAACGGTGACGATAATGGGCGGGAGGCGTTATCGTGGCGTAGCTGATGGGCGTGGGAAAGGGGACGCCGGGAACTAAGGGTTTCTCGGCTCTCGTGTATAACGGGTGCGGGAGGGGCGTATCTGCATAGTGCTATGTTGCAATCTCCGAAGAGAGACTATCTGCTCGAGGCGTTTTTGTGGCCGCTGGCTGGTCATGGAATGCTGTGCGTTGTGTGTTTTGTGTTGCTGAGAGCTGGATTTG